ACCTAGAACCTTAGATTTAAGGCGGTCTACTTAATCCTATAAGTCCTTTAAATATTAAAGCTTCTCGATAGTAGCCTATATAGCTACGAGGCTATCGTTAAGGTCCGATAGGGTAGTTTAAGCGTTATAAGGTGTTTTATCCTTAATAGTAGTTAACTCGTTAAGGTTTCGAGAGACGTTCGGTGCCTCTTTAGTAGAGGGAGTAGAGCGAGTCCTAGGTACTATCTCTCCTAGGTAGTTAAAGAAGAAGAAACAGAATTATTAAGGAAGTATCTACTTTATAGGGTAGATGGCCTATTAACTAGGTAGGAGAGGAAAGCACTAAGTTAGATTAAGACAAAGACTGTTTCTTAAGGAGCTTGAATCCCACTCCTTAAGCATTAATTTAAATACATCATCTTTTGTGCAAATAGGAATCAAACACGAAGTAAGGGGGAAACCATGGCGAAAGGCCACCGTATGGCTAACGCATGGCATATACTGTGGGCGTGGCCTACATACAGCGTGGCTGTCGCATATCGCGGCCGAGGGGCCACCGACTGACCGCCGGATGGCTACCGCCTTAGCAGAACCCTCGGTCCACGCATGCCTGAGGCCCCAATATCAGTGTGTGAATAGTCTCATCGAAATATCATAACACCCTCCCCTAGCACAATCGAGCTTTTTAGAGAGATTGAATCCGTTACCTCCCTTCGGTCAGATGAACCTAGTATCAGAGCAAAATGGGCAACAAACATAGAGGACCTCTTGTTGTTGTATATGGAACCCCAATATAACGGGCAAAATACCAATGATGACTTTTTTGAATCGGGCAAGAAGGCAATAGATTAAGCTTGCCACACAGCGGCCTTGATTTTTTTGGTTTCTATTCCTTGATGACCACGAATATCTTGCTCCATTCTCCATGGATGTTCTGCAAATTTTCGTTGAAAAATTGCGATTTGCGGTATCCTATCCAAGCATGGATACGTGGATAAGGACTGCTCCGGAAGCACATACTTTGGTATGCCTGCTTGGGACAGCCGCCTCTTTCAAATTAGATGATCGCGTCTGGTTCAGTCTTAGGTATGGTCGGGCAGTAAGTATCGAAAGTAAAAATGCATCAGTTCTATTGCAGAGCTGGAGCATTTATGATTGGGCAAATCATAGACGCAAGGTCAAGATGATGGCGGCAGCGGAGTAAGTGGGTGTCCTACTAGAATGAGAACAAGGAATTGACGAACAAGATGGGCCAGAAGAAAATGGAAAAGAAAATCAAACGTTCACCCAGATAGCGAGAAAGATTGCATTTCCTAGTCATGGAACGGCTTGGGCGACCAAATATGCTCTGCTTCTCACTGGCTCGGCCGGGGCGCTCCTGTAGGAGCTTAAAGCCCATGGAATGACCTGAATACTTATAAAGTCCGATCATTATGGAAGTATGTAGACCCGGCACTTAGGTGCGTGTATTCAACCGTGTCGCCTGATAAAGGCGGGCTAGCGGGCTAGCGTGGATTTTTTGAAAATGTCTAGAGTACGCGGCGTCACCACCACAGGTATTAACTACACGAGAAATAGCGAGCCTATAATAGGAGATCAATTCGCTATCAGTCATATGTAAAATTACTTCATGTCATATGAAGGCTGTAACCAGCCATACTGTTTGCCTGAAGGTTACTGGCTCAACTCTCTAGCTGAACCAGGTCGTTACGCCCCTGAACCAGGATGCATTGCCCACGCTGAGATCAATTGGATTATTTTCAGCGCAAAACTGTTAGCGAACGGCATGATGATACATTCGATACGGAATTAAGGATGAAAAGTGGAATTTGAGGATCTGCCAGAAAAGGTAGTGTGATTTTTTGAACTTGTTGCTAATGCATGATTATACGTATGTGAAACTCAATTACAACCTTCAATCAGGTATGGAAAGCGGTCAAAGCCTCCGATGCATACTAATTGAGAGATTGTTAAGGATCATCTTCGTACTATTGAAGGCTTGAACCCACAGAGAAAGGCAGACGAACAACTGTCTTGCTTTTGACAATTTTAAACAAGCATACGTGTCCATAGTGAGGTCTTCGCCAATAAAAAGCGACGCTTTTCAGTACACCAAACGGTCGACTTGGCAATCCCGAACTCTCTAACCCAGAGGCTTATTTCATTTCCAAGGGAGGGGAAGGAAAGCATTAATCCGAATACCGAAATTTTGGAACCATTTTGGGTAACTCTATAATTAAGCCATTACAATCTTCACCACAAGCGAGTAACGGGGTTTCTATCACTAGCACCGCTAGAAGCATGGCAGGAACACTTTCTTCGCCAGCTTCTTCAATCCGTCATTCCTCGTCCTCCTGGCGTGCCGAGCATATGCAGCTGCCTCGTTGACGCGCGGGAACGGGACATTTGGTATATCTTTGCCCAAAAACTGGCATAGTGGCTCCCACCCGTCCTTTAGCTGAAAGTCGAGCAGTTGCCCCGGCGGGACAGTTGCGCGGATTTCCCTGTAGTGCCTTTCATAGGCGGCACGAGCATTCCCATATATGTCTTTTGGATGTTTCGATTGCGTCCATCCAAGCTGGAACTTCAAGCTCACTTTCCCCTCGATACTTCCGATCCAGGACCCAACCCAATGAATCATTCTTACCTGCGACTGGCTCTGCCACGGTTTGAATACCTGCTCCGTGCTTTTAGACCAAGACTCGATGTCGCGCTCGACTAGGATGACCTGGGCATCAGGGTACGCGTGGATCAACGACATGGCGTAGAAGGAGGCGATATCAGTAACGGCCCCGTATTCTCCGAAGGCCTCATCCCATTCAGCCCGTGTGAAGGGCTTACCCGTATATGTCGGCAATGTGGGGAAGCTCGCGTCGGCAGCACGGTCCAAGATTTGCCAATGCTTCTGAAACTCGGGTCCAATAATCTCTAACCCGTGGTGCACGTTGGAAACGCCCAGAAAGCGCAGCGATTCGGCTAGAGACGCGGTGCCAGTGCGAGCCATGCCCAGGCAGAGAATAGGTGGGGATGATTGCGATCCTGTTCTCATTGTTTCGGCCATATTTGTTGATGTCGAGGGTTGGACCGCTGTGTCCTCGTCCCCGGGCGTTACTGTCTTCTCTACCTGAGCCATGTTGCCGCGCTCTTTGTCGTCCGGGTTCCTGGTTCCTGGAATTTAATAATAAGAAACCTTCTAAATCAATGGTGGTTTAGGGGGAAAGAAGGGTTTTAGGGAACAACTTTAAACATTTCATAAGAAATCTCTTAAAACAATTGTCGAATGTAGGAAGGAGTATTTCCTCGCGTCGGCAGATTTGGTAAGATCGCAGCGAGCCATACACCTACCCGATTTGACATTTCCTATCGGGTAATTCCTGAAAACTGTCAGCTTTCGCCGCTTCTACTCACTGAGTAGCCATAGCTTTGATGGCATTTGTGAATGGGCAGTAGGGAGTCAGCAAATTAGTAGACCATTACGAATGTGTCTTAGCAACTGCGACTGATTTTGGTATGGCAGGAGCCTTTCCATAACTAAAAGGCTTCATATATACAACACTTGTACCTCACATGTCGTCGGGTACAGTTCGTGTGAAACCTAAACATTAGATAAGTTCCAATCCCAGGTTCGGAATTCAAATCGTTTCGATGCTGATTTTCGCAAAAATTGTATGTTTAGCCCAACCAATTCCGAATAGTTTATCAAGCGATGATAACGGACGATGGCTCTGTGAGTTGGCTCCTCGTATTTAAACATTCGCGCACTCATTATCTAAGCTTGGGAACGAACGGGAACGGTAGATCCGAAGCCGATTTGTGAACGGAAAGTGTGAAATGTGACTTCCAGCTTCACCACCTTGTCTCACTTTTCGATCTCTCAGGAAACCATTTTGAAGTCAATTAGCGCCAGCTGATTATGAGACAACATGGGATACTTGGCTACTGTAGCTAGCTTACTATAATCGAGCGGTGGGTTGTTTTCTGCCCTCTAGCTACGTGCCAGGGCTCAGACCAGCAATAAGCGGGAACTGAGTGAGGTAGTAAGGGTGATATGATTGGCTTATCTACTTGGCGTTGGTTTTATGCCCGTTACACTTTCCACAATAGGCAGCAGTAGAGCGTCAAAATCATTAATGCAGTGATTCGGTCGTGACTGTGGTGGTTTGCGTCAATATTTCAACTCGCTCTTCCCGATGCTTCAATCCTGTCACGTCAACTTTGGCGTCATTTTGTTCGTATACTCACAAAACAAGTAACCGGTATTGCCGTGTTTTGCAAGTTTACCTGCGGACTAGCGGAGTGGCGTGGAAGCGCTTGGCATCAAGCCGAGAACAAAACACATAACCCTAGATGCGTCAATACATCGTACTTCATGCCGGCTGACTTGAGACCGACTTTACAGGGGCTAAAGTAACGGCATGATTCTATTCCATACCTAGGTCTGATCCACCTCCCTACCAGGCTACTCTGGCATAAAGCTTACCAGCTTTTCCAACGAGTTGTAAAGACACGTTCATTCATCATGCTTCGCACTTTCTTGAAGAATCGTAGACAGCAGTAAGCACGGCCAAAGGTCCACTTCTACTTTACTCAGCTGGACCCGTATCGGCCTTAACGTGATCCTCAAGCTTGACTACGAAATTTTAGGAGATGAGCGCTTTATATGGTAAGTGTCGTATCTTTCCAGTCTCGCGATAGACCAAGATTGGGCTAGAGTCAGGATTTCACAATTCCAATTTGTTTGCAGCCAACGTTCGATTTTGGATCCACAGCGATATATATCAGCCGCACAACACATGAATATTGAGATCTTCCAGGCACGACTTTTCTCCCTCCTCATATTGCCTTTTCTCTGTTTTCCGTCATTTCCCTTCCTCCTGTTCAACACCATTACTTGGAGGATCGCTAATACACAATGTCGGTCTCGAAGGACGGGCAATCTAAGGGCGAGGTGAACCTTACCAACCACGAGGAGCCTCCAACTTTCTATCCTATAGGCCCAAAGCTCATCCTCATCACCATCAGTCTAATGTTGGCCGTCTTCTGTGTCGCTTTTGACAACACGGTTTGGTTTAAAGCCCGTGGTCAATGATTGCAGCGCGTTGACACAATCACCTAAGATCATAGCCGTCGCCATTCCTCGCATCACAGATGACTTTCATGCGCTCAACAACGTTGGCTGGTACGCGTCTTCATACCTGTTGGCAACTTGCTGTAAGTTTTTACACAATAATACGGGCCAATCAATATGTAAATGACCATGGGCTAGCATTTCAACTATTGTACGGAAGATTTAATACTTTCCAATCAAATGGGTTTACTTGGCCGCATGATTCCTTTTTGAACTGGGTTCACTCATTTGCGGTGTTGCGCCTAATTCCACTACATTGATCGTTGGACGGGCTATCGCTGGCCTAGGAAGTGCCGGCATGTTCAGTGGTGCCTTGGTCACCTTCGCGTATACAGTCGAGCTGGAGAGAAGACCAGTCTTCTTCAGCGCACTTGGTGGTATGTACGGCCTTGCCTCGGTCGCTGGACCATTGGTAAGATCTCGGCCTATTGAAAGATTCAAAAAAGCACTTCTGAGACTTCTATAGCTGGGTGGTGCCTTGACCGATCACGCTTCTTGGAGATGGTGCTTCTATATTAATCTTCCCTTAGGTGGCGTTACAGCCATTGGTCTTCTTACTCTACTGAAGCTTCCCCCCAATGAAACGACTCAGAAGACGCCTTTAGATATAATATTAGAGTTGGATCCCCTTAGAACACTCCTTTTAGTCCCCGCTATTATTTGTCTACTTCTCGCACTTTAGTGGGGCGGGGTGACTTACGACTGGTCGAGTGGCCGCATCGTTGCCTTGTTCGTGGTTTTTGGCATCGCTGTTGTTAAATTTATCGCACTCCAGATTATCCTCAGAGATAGAGCGACAATACCAGTCGATATTGCTCGTTAGCAGACTATTGCATTTGCCTCTTTCTTTGGTATTTGCATAGGCGGGTCGTTCTTTATTATGATCTATTACATTCCTATCTGGGTAGGAACATCGATTATCTGATGTAATGGTACTTGTTAACCTATTATTAGTTTTAAGCTGTTTTTGGTGTAAGTGCCATACGATCCGGCATTAACTCCCTCCCTATGATTCTATTTAGCGTTTTTGGTATTTTAGTAGCGGGCGGGTTGACGACTCGTTTTGGATATAACGCGCCCTTCTTCATCGCTAGCAGCATCATCATGTCCATTGGAGCCGGTCTTATCAGTACATTGACAGCCGGTATATAATAGGCTAGATGGATTGGATTCCTCTTTATTTACGGCCTAGGAGGAGGCTTGGGATTTCAGCAGGGGGGTGTTGCTGCCCAAGCCGTGCTCCCTTTGTCCAAGGTATCCATTGGTACTGCCATTGTCTTGTTCCTCCAGATCCTTGGCGGATCCTTGTTCGTCGCAGTCGCGCAGAACATTTTTGCCAGGGAGCTTATCGGTAACCTCGAAGCCCTCAATATTCCAGGCTTTTCCTCATCTGACGTGATAAATGGGGGAGCAACAATTATCCGAGCCATGGTCAGCGAGTCGAGTTTGGCTAATGTTCTTGTGGCATATAACGACCCGCTTGTGAAGGTCTCTCAGCTTTCTCTTGTCCTCGGTTGCTTGAGCATGATCGGGGCTCTATGCATTGAATAGAAGAGCGTGAAGGCTAAGAAGGCAGATGAACGGGCCGTCTAATAGTGTTCTGTATAACTTATTGGTGACGCAACACCAGGATCGGCCCTGAACGATACAACGGCCTCCTGATAGAAAAGTGGTCTTTCTGGTGCTCAGGATCTCTAGGCCTTCTTTTGGAACGTTATGTAAACCTTGATACTTAGTTACTAAAATTTCCCAACACATTCTTCCACGTGCTCCAAAATCAATTCAGACCAAATCTTCGAGCTAATCTTGAGTTTTAAGTTCAACCCATAGGTAGCTAGCGAAGCGGGCCAATGATGGGGAAAGCTTGTATTGTAGAATATCTCATTGGAACTTGTATCACGTCTATCTATATGCTTGTGCAGCAAAATGATTGGTAGCAGGGTTCAGTAGTCGGCTAGACGCTGTATATATCTTGACACTTACGCATACGACATCGGCATCAGTACAAGTGGAGTCAAATTTGTTGTCAGTGCTCGGTAGCCCTATGTCACATATTTTTGGTCATTCGAGGTTCTGTCCGGCATATATTACCCAGCAGCCACCTTTCAGGAAGGACATCTATTCTCAGTATTCAATTTCAAGCTTTTTCTTACTATCTCCAGACCCAAATGCCTGACAGCACAGCATACTGGAACTTGAAATGCCGGGCTTATAAATCCGGCCATGACAGTTATATATAATATAGAACAAAGTATCTCCAGGTCTCATTACTATTCAGCGGGAATTTTTGTAGAGAACAATTCTGTTTGCATTACTTAAAGTATCTTACCGCTGTCATCGTCACAAAAGGGTCTTTGGTTTGAGTACTTTGCTTATCACACTCCAGAACATCTTTTTATTTCACTGATAGCATATTTGTAGGCTACTGACACGCTCCTTCTCCGCATCGCTGACGCATTGACTGCTGCTGGTCATGAGGTGACGGCTATCCAGCGTAAAGTCTTCACAAAGTCCGCGTCGGGAGCGTCGGAGTAGATCACCAGAGCAAAGAGGAGATGAAGTCAGTTTTGAAGGAAAAGGATGTTACTAGATCTTTTGCTTCTCTCTCACTTCTCACTTCTATATTTGGATACGCCCGGATTTCGTTTAATCACTTGTACTGTCCAGGCTGGAATGCTACCTGCAGGACCTCCTACGGAGATGTTGGCCCGAGACGGAACCCTCAAGAAAAAATGTCAGGAATTATGTCCATGTACGTAAGTATCGACGTTGGCTCTGTAGATTTCCTAGTATATTTTGTTGCCTCAATATGTTGTGTCGTTTCTGTTGGTGGATAATTTTTACTCTGCATTCAAATTCGGCTGCAAACGTCCTGAGCGTGAAAGCGCTCAAATTGAAGACCTTTGAGTATACCATCGCAGGGAAGTGGCCAAGTCGGAGAGGGGACCAGACAACAAAGTAAAGTCAGTTGGCAGCCATGACTGGACTGTTTCACACCATGATTTGGCAGATTACGTGAATGAGAGGATATAGTGAAGCTCCTTCCCACAAAACCTTCTCGATTGAGGATAAAAAGCGGAATGTAGAGTTAAATTGCTGACCAAGTGTTGAAAAGCAAAACCAAAGGCCCCGGAAACTTGTAAGGGACCGGTTGCCTCTCGTGGGCTGTTTCAAATACATCTCCCGGCCCAGTTTCTTGAGAAGGCTCTTTAAGTGAATGGGTGCGCCATTCTATGTCAAACTTCTCCCTGACAAACATCAATTCAATAGTGAGCACGAGTCAAGATAAAGCAAAACCTTTAACTATAATTCGAGCCCGTGCTCCCACTTGGATGTCACGATCTTGACTGGAAACTCAGTATGATGTATTCAATTGGTCCAAAAGCCTGCCATGAGCCACGACGAGCTGCGTGCTCAGTCCTGAAACACTCCTCACACCATAGGCATCCAGAGACAAGTAGAAGAGGTCAAAGCATGTACCTCGGCACAATTGGTAAAGAGCTTCATTTTTTTCGCCGCGAAGGTAGTTTTGTTCAATTGTATTTTCTGTATTGGGTAGCACAATTGGCAGTTGATAGCCTGTGTAGAACAGAGAGCTGGGGAGTATGACACTTTTACTTGACTATGATTCAGTTCTATTTTTCTCAGTGTGAGTCCACTACTACTATTTCATCAGCCAGAGCACTTCATTGAGCTAATCTCAAGTATATCATCGATTATTTTCATGTATTTCACGGACACATGAAAATCAAGCAAGGTATGTCAGGTGTCCTAGGTAGTTCAGGCATTGTATGGCTGTGTACTATGTGGGGATACTATCTTGAATAAGAGTTCTGATCATACAGCGATGTCCGTTGTATACGCAACATTCTTGAGCTCGGATGCATCACTCGGCTCCCATGGGTGCTCTTGCTCAACAGATAAGATAATTGCCTCCTGAGATGGGCCCCGAACTGTGATTGAACATTGGAATGGAGCTGGATGGCTAATAACACCCGGCTCGAATTTTGGACTCTCTGTGATAGCAATTCCATCTTGTACAGCGTGGCTGATATTGAAAACCGCGAGGGTCTGTGCTACGCTCAGATAGACCGTGTTGTCCGCTAAGAAGCGACCGGGACATATGCGGCGGCCGAACCCAAAGGCGATGGAGTGTGGGTCCATTTCTGGAATATGTCCCTCTTTTCCGAGGAACCTCTCGGGGTTAAAAGTCATCGGGTCAGAGAAGATCTTTGGGTCGTGCATCATAGCCCTTTGTACAAAGTCAGATTCTTAGGCTATAGTAGATATATATTAGACGACATACCAAATATTGGGCATTATGATAGAGCCCTTAGGAATGAAGTAATCTCCCCAAACATCATCCTCAGTTGACATATGAGGTACTCCCATAGGCCCAACAGGGTGCCAGCGCAACACCTCTTTAACGACGGCATTGATATAGGGAAGACGAGAGCGGTCCGCCACTTTCGGTAGCCGTCCAGGCCCCAGAACTCGATCAATTTCATCTTGTGCTCTACGCTGGACATCTGGATATAAGGCCATAGCAAGGAAGAAACATGTAACAGATGAGACAGTCTAAGTCCATTAGCGTCCGACGAAGGGAAGGTGAAAATGTATACTGTTTTCGAACTAACCGTATCGGCCCCTCCAGTGTAGAGTGAAGCAGCAGACCATTTTGCGATAAGTTCTTCTTCCGACCCAGGCTTAGGAACTCCCTGTGTTTCGAAAATATTGGACAAGTACGATGGTTTATACTTGCCACTGGCCATCCGTGCCTTGACGAATGCGTAGGGTCTATCTGCTATGCCTGTCCTTTGTTCTCTCCATGCCTGGGCTATGCGCTGGAAGCCTGCCCCCGGTAGCCATGCCGGGATATGTTTCACTATCTGTATCAGGTTTGAAAGTCTTGTTGGAAAGGGAAGTTAGACTTAACACTTACACGCAGGGATGATATCTACCATCCAAACTCCAGGGGCTGCAGCTTGAACGAAATTATCGAGCGCCTCATTAGTAATATGCACTAGATGGTCACAACCAAATGGGTCAATGTTATAGCCATAAGCGATATTCAAAATAATGGCTCCTGCTTTTCTAGACGTCTCAAAAGTTTAGTCCGTAATTCAATCACCTAATACGCAATAAATCTCACGTTTTTATATGCTGGAGGAAATCATTTGGCTCCCGAAGTACTCGTAACAAGAAGCGGTGTACTTCTCTCTCTTGAATGGAGTTGAACTGCATGGCGGCAGACTCAGATCCGATCGATGGCTGGAATGCTTTACGATAGGCTCGAAATCTCTCAGTATAACCTTGGAAAATTATGCCGTCCTCCCACCCCACCCTATTCTCAATAATTAGTTTGTGTATCAATGGTCAATGGCAGACAACCATTAGGTGCTTGAATACTCACAGCTCCGACGCAAAGACCATTCTTGGTCTTGAGGAGTGAATTACAGAGCGTTTATTCAATAGATCCACTGCCGGTTCCAGAGCATTGGCAATAACGATTGTTTGCCCCAAGACTTGAAGAGAACTGATGGGGCCTAAATCATGATTAGTACATTGTCCAGGACCGGGGTACTGTACATCAAGGCCAGTCCCATATTTGACAGACTGGTTGAATACCGTAGAGCTCTTTATGTTTCATCCAATGCACCCATTCCCGCTCTCCTTTCGGGGGCAAGTCGGTAATGTTGCCCAGAATTGGTTTAGGCCGAGGGCCTGGTGGAAGAGGGCCGGGGAGTCTCTTATCTAGTGACGCTCTTTTTAAAACGTAGAGAGCCAGTATACCTAGGGACAGAATTGCTATCGAAAGAGAAGTCATGGCGCCTAGTATAAAGAATCTCGAGTAGTTCGGAACGGAGCTTTCGGCCGATAATCTCTATTCAGGAATATTGGCGACAAAGCACTTCTATTTAGAGCCATTTATAATGTCTACCCTGTGATTTTTATGCTTTTCTATCATGTCGCCACCAATGTGGAGTCATTCTTCCGGGGAATGTGTGGCACAAGGCCTAGCTAGATTGGGGAGTTGCACATCCCCTAAAGCTCTGCTAATTAGATAACGTAGGCGCATTTACTTGAACAGGGCCGCTAACTCTTCAGCTCGGTCCTGAATCGGTTGGTTGGTGGGGACTACATAGTTTCTCTTATTAGCTCCCATTGCAGATGTAAGTGAGTAACGTATGTGCGCTAAGCAAGCTTGAATGAGAGGAGTGTGACCTGGTATATAAAAAGATAGTCGGGCATGCTACCCTAATATCCTGACACTCATGGAGCTTAGAGCCTGGAATAGCGGGCGATACCCTGGAACTAGCGGTTGTCCTTTGTAGGGCAAACCGTAATTAAGTTGAGCTTTCGCGAATCTTAGTTAAATGTGGAGCCGCTGACCTCAGTTGAAGAGGGCCACTTACCAAACCACTAGCAAAACTAGTGAGTTGTTCATTCCGGCTGGACTCAGCTATTCCGGGGACCCGTTTCAACATTCACAATCAATGCCCAAATCGAGACGCAGATTCAAAGCTGACCTTGCTCCGGTCTCGCACTGGACATACCAAATTTGGTAGATGACACTGCTACCGATTTAGCGTGACCGGTGATTACACTGTATGCGATTCGACTAGATTCAGAGATCTCCGCGCTTACTTGAGCTCTTGGGCGAATTCATTGAATACGTCAACTCAAGAACTATTTAGACGTAATTGTCAAGGTTAGTGGTAGTAATGAACGGCCTTTAAGTGTGTCCACGGTACCGGAAGTCTACGAGCTTTGATATTTCATAAATCAACTACACGATTGCATGGCTTTTGAGGTGATAAGAGAGATCTGAATTGCCTATCAATAAACCAAGTCCCTCGCTTATCCGCCCGCTAGCGTGCGGGCAGAGGTGCATCGTGGCTTGTCGGCCCCACCTCTGCATTTTGAAATGAGGGCGGGTTTTTGGAATTTCAAGGCTTTCCAGTAAATTGCAGCACCTAGTTCAGACTTTAAATAGGGCGTAAATTAGAATTTATACCTGGGGATAAAGTACATCCTTGACATTGACATAGTATGCGGGAAAGGGTGAGACAAGGGAGAGTTCAGGACAAACTTCTAGATGGTTATTTTTCCCGACCTGGGGTGGCATTGATTGACATCTTTTCCGGTTGGTACAAAAAGAACGGCGAAATTAATCTGTCCAGACCCATAAAATCCATAGATGCTGGTCATCCTGTAGAGCCGACGTCATGTGATCTGGCTCGCCGTTGCGGCAATAAAGGATAGACTCACCGCCCAGAGGCTCTGTCACTTTGACCCGTGGTTTCGGAAAAACCGCCCCAATGGATCAAAGCCCCTCCGAGAATATTTTACCAACTCAAGAACTTCAATCACGACACTGACTTATGCCCTTTCTGGAATCTGTCGTATAGAAAAACCTTTGTGGAGGCAAAGTAACAATGGCCAAGGTCACTTTCACAGCATGGAAGACCAAGGCCCAATTACTCGATGTGCGGAGTGAATTTTACCCGCCCACATGGTACACTGGGCCGGACAGGCGCTCACATGCCTGCGCCACGGTAGTTGACTATGTTCCAAGACCAAGCGCTGTGCTGAAGCTAATGGCAGACTAGGTCGAGGCTTGGAAGTTACGTGGCAATGTCCCACACCACGTCGAGGCCACAGCGTTGTTGACAGACGCGATTCTGCATGATGACGGGCTGCGGAATTCCATCTTTTCCATCCGGGCCACGTATTCAGCAGCTTTTTGTCGGTATGTATTATCATTTCCCATGCGCTTGATTTGACAAGCACCCGACCGAATGACTACCCGTGACAGAAAATCATGCATGTTCCACAACAGGCTAACCAAGTCCACAGCTTTGTGACAGGCTTGGTAGACACCAAAGTCACCGGCCCCCGGAGAACGATGTTCCAGCGGGCGATGGATCTGGGCCTGCCGGCGTCATTTGTTGAACTGCGCCATGAAGCAACGCATCGTGAGCCTCCATCGCTTGTTGTCCTTCGCAAAGCCACGCAGCGTTCGTTGGAGTGGCTGTGGGACAACTACTGGGCCAACATTGACCTCGATGTAATCGGCGGTGTACTTCAGTACAACCGTGACGAAGGCTTGCCAATTACGACGGTGCTCGGTGAAGTACTGCAAGAGTTTGTGCACGGGTCAGGGTCCAGGCCAGCACAGAAGAAAAGGAAACGCGAGCATGAGGATGGCATTGCGGGTCGATTGCTCGAAATCTGCAGTATGTCGAGGGACGGTATGGATGCTGGCCTGGCTGCGCTGTCGGTCCTTTTGTTGGATCTGAAACTGTTGTTTGATTCGGAGAGAAGGTGAGATTTTCTCATGGGTTCAACCGTGCCATTGGACTGGTGGCTAACATTGACACTAGACTTGGGGACTCCATGAATGCCATGTTTGAGAAGTGGGATCCAGTTCTGCAGAAAGTTGCAGACGGTCATTCTCCGTTCTTGCTGTTCCTGTCCGAGGAGCTGGTACACAAGTTGGCGCTCAATCCGGCGACCGATTCACCGGAGAACACCATTGACGAGGGAATTTTCTTGTGGCTGGATCATTTGCTCAACTCACCTACATGGGAGTCGCGGAAGCAATATCTCCCCCGAGACTACATCATCGCCGTGTGCCATGGCCAGCCCAGCCACTGGGCGAAGATGATGGCTCAGAATCTCCAACTCCAGCAGCAGGGCAGCGCTGCCGTGGTGCCCCGCCGTCAAATGACGGTGAACAAGTCCTCGAAGAAGCGGGCACATACTGTTTCGGATGGGGAGTTTTCAAGGAAGCTGCAGGGGCATGGATGGGGCCTTGCAGAGAAATGGGACAATCGGCCACTGGGAATGACTTTGAAAATTTAAGAAGCATATGTTTACTCTAATCATCAAAAGTTGTTGCCGCTGGCGGTACTTCCTATGCATTTGCCGGTTACTTTCTATGAGACATTTCTAAGCGCCCATTTTGACAAACAACTTCCCCGTAAAAACACGATGGCTCCAATTATCAAGCTCGGCGGCCACAAGCCATTCCGCCTTACTCCAGATATCCAGGGAGCCATACATCGACAGACCGTACTGCCAAGCCCCACGTTCACATACACACCAACACGACACTGCAGAAGGAATCAAGTTGAGATTGTGATCCCTTCTATTGCCACTTTCAATTGTCGGGAGTACGTCGGCAATAGTGACTGTCGGAGCAGCAGGATTGGTGGATACCCGGGGAAAAGAGATATTAGTTCATGTAGATTGCCCAAACAAATTGCCAGCGAGAGGCTTCGGAAGTAATTCAAATTCACTACGATTTCTATTGATGCACCTGATTTTAACTTGGTTATTCACATGGCTTACTAAACATGTGTTTCCGACTTGACCGTCTCCGGAGGAACCGTTGTTCCGCATGACGTGGATATGTCATCGGGTGTGTTGCGCCTCCCCCCCAATGAGCTCAATTGACCATCCCCGCACGTCGACCAAGCGTTTCCGGTTATGCATTTTGCAAAAGCGATTCGGCCCTTCAGTACCCGTTTGATTAAATCACAAAGAATCCGCGCTATGCATATCCAATCAATTCCAATGTGTAAGTGAGGTGGACCCATCCGACCCTGTGCGTGTGTGTGTGCATGTTGCGCCGTGCCGGGAACCATACAGCCCCGACATTTTCGGCAATCGGACCCTGACGTCTTGTAGGGACCGGGAAAGGCAATAACTATGCCTACCTAGTCACAGATGAGCCGTCGAAGAAGTCGGTCATTATTGATCCTGCAAATCCCCCAGAGTATGTCGGCCGATTCAGACCAAGGTGACATCTTGAGAAATTGTACAACTGCTGACTCTGGATTTTAGGGTTGCACCGGAGTTGAAGTCACAAATCAGTGCTGGGAAGATTGATTTGACGGCCATTATAAATACGCATCAGTAAGTCAATCGCTGCCGAAGACAATCCTGGCTCCTGACCCGACAAAGTTGCGCTGACATGTCAACTCAGCCACTGGGACCATGCTGGAGGCAATGACGAGATGGTCAGTTTACCTGCCCTCTACCTAGAGGTATGTCTCTAACCTGATTTCTCACAGCTGGGACAATTCGGCAAACTCCCCGTCATTGGAGGAAGCAACTGCCAGTCGGTCACGAAATCGCCAGCACATGGCGAGGAATTCAAGATTGGTGACCGAATCACTGTCCGCGCTTTGCACACCCCATGTCACACGCAAGACAGCATCTGCTACTTCATGCAAGATGGTGACCAGCGCGTCGTTTTCACCGGAGATACTCTCTTCATTGGCGGTTCGTGATCAAGATCTTCTCATGCTGTCGTAAGCAGAGATCCTAATCTCTCCCAGGATGCGGACGATTCTTCGAGGGTAATGCCGCGGAGATGCACAAGGCTTTGAACCAGACACTGGCTGCTTTGCCTGAGGATACCAAGGTTTACGTACGTTGATCGCTCTCCGTCTGAGGTCCCCGACGTGTCTGCTGACAGCCTCATCCTCCAGCCTGGCCATGAGTACACCAAGGCAAATGTGAAGTTCTGTCTTCATGTGTCCCAGACCGAGCCCATCAAGAAGCTTCAGGCATTTACTGAGGCAAACCAGCAAACGCAGGGCAAGTTTACCATCGGCGATGAGAAGGTATGTAACTGCTGGCCTTGGAAAGCTCGGTGAGCGTCGGAAGCTAACAAACTCATGCTTTAGCTTCATAACGTGTTTATGCGTGTCAACGTAAGTCGAATGAGGCTAGAGAATTCCTCTTTCAACCAATTCTCATGCTAACTTGCTCCCAGGACCCTGAGATTCAGAAGGCCACCGGCAAGACCGATCCAGTGGATGTCATGGCTGCCCTGCGAGAGATGAAGAATGCCATGTAGATGTAGCCGACCCGGCAAGCCGTGAAGTTCCATAACCCAATCATCCAATGTTTTCTGTGTAGCATGTATGTATCCGATGGACCGCTATTCCTGACGACTGGCCACGACATTAAGTACCAGCCATGTAGCCGATACGTGGTCGACCATGTCAATGAGACGTCAAAGTTTGAGCTCTGGCTGAGTATTACAAGGAGCTAGGGAGGATAATTTCCATTCGAAACATTCCTCAATCTCGATGTGTTCAAGCTGGAACTGGCTTCAATGAAAAATATGTCAGGCCTTTCAGTCGGCAACATCCTTCTTCTTGAGCCATCCCTATCAATCAATTCTCGCAGGAGTTCGAATTAATCTAGCTTCCATGACATACAGGTACTCGGCGAGGGTTATGGATAATGTAGCCCAGCCAGCCAATCATCTGCGTCTGATCCAGCCCAGAGACGGAGCGGAGTTTAGTAAACCAAGGAGGTGCACCAATTGAAATCGTTGACAAGTCTGGATTATTATGAAGCCCCTAGCTGGCAATTTGGATGTCTACGGAGTAATTACGATGGATCTATAGTATCTCCGTTTTCCGGAAATCCACCAAATCTTGCTGCTCCATTGCAATCGGACAAGCCACAGAGCGGGCTGCACTGCCACACGCACGTCCGCCTTGCCATTGTCAGAAATCAGGCTGCAAACGCGGCAAACAAAGAAAGCGAAACACGCCAGCGAAGGAAATTGACTCTTTGTTAATCCTTACACTAACCCGTAGCATAAGCACCACTCCCAAACACACAAGGTCGCTCAATTCGACTCATTTTCCCACTCTGTACCCGGTTCTTCCTGGGTCTTCCTGGGGAAACGGGAGTACCTTGGCCAATTACGATCCAGTGTAGCATTTACCGCCCAGCGTCTGGCTTCGGCCGGGATCTTTTCTGCCGACAGAAAAAAAAAAGTTCCGCGGGTTCGGGGTTTTGTTTCATTCACCTCCTCCGCGGCATGCAATAACGCTTGCAGACGGACTCACTCCTGGCAATGGACGCAACAAATTTTTCCAGCAACTGGAAGAAGCTACAGGCCACACTTAAGCAAAACAGCGTCGTGAAGGGTACATCAACCGTCAAGCGCAAGGCTGCAGACCGCGACTCGGCGACGGGGTCCGTGAAGAAACGCAAGTTTGTCGAGAAAGACCAGTCCAAGGCACGAGCCTCCCCGAACACCTTCAGGAAACAGAGAATGTTGGATGGATCTGCCAACGCTAGCCCAGAGGGCACCGACTCGGGCTCCACGACAGTCCGGCGAAGATCCAGCACGGTCGTGTCTGCTGCCACGGTACCAGCAGTATCACGGACGGCAAAGGTGAACGAGGGCCGTTCTCCCAGGTAAGCAACCACGGGGTACCTTTCTTTTTTTCTTTTTTTTCGATCTTTTCTTCATGCTCATACTGACGTTTTCTAGTGCGGAAATCGGGAAATACATTGCCATGGATTGCGAGATGGTGGGCGTGGGTCCCAACCCCGACCATGATTCGGTTCTCGCCCGTGTCAGTATTGTCAACTTCAACGGTGACCAGGTTTACGATTCCTACGTGCGACCGAAAGAGATGGTGACCGATTGGCGGACTCATGTCAGTGGGATTGCCCCCAAGCACATGGTGGAAGCCCGCTCGCTGGAGCAGGTGCAGAAAGAGGTCGGAGAGATTATGGATGGACGTGTGCTGGTAGGCCATGCGGTCAGCAACGACCTAGATGCATTGCTACTGGGTCACCCGAAGCGCGACATTCGTGATACCAGCAAGCACCCCGAGTACCGCAAGATCGCCGGGGGTGGATCTCCGCGACTGAAGATGCTGGCCGAGCATTTCCTGGGACTGAAGATCCAAGAGGGTGCTCATTCTTCCGTGGAGGATGCGCGGGCGACCATGGCATTGTATCGTCGGGAAAAGGATGCGTTTGAACGGGAGCATTTGAAGAAATGGCCGATCCGGAACGCGCCCGTCAACTCGACCACGGGGGAAGAGAAGAAGAAAAAGAAGAAGAAGAAGACCACGCGCAAGCGATGATACAATGATGGCTGACGGGAGATCAAGCCGGTTGGACTTGGATTTTGTCTGTGTATAGAAATATTTTGGATACCCACAATTTGCATTGAGTTCGAGGAGGCTGGCTGTTGCTGACTTTCCCCTTCCTCTCCCCATATATATATATATATATATTTTTTGTAAACACCCGAACACCCAATTCACACCCGACACGACCATAGATTCCGTACCGTTGGGCACCTCCTTGTCCTTCATTGTTGACCAAGGAGATGTGGCCGGACTCGGAGGGGGACAATGACGTAGGGGTTGTGTTCGCGTGTCGCGTGTACGGAGGTGGACATCATGCCCAATGCAGACATCCAGAATTATACAGTACAGCATGAGCACGTTACTGTACGAGTCCGGCGTTCCTCCCGTGTACGGAGTACTCCGTACTGACTTTGGCATTGTTTGGTACCGCAGGACGGACAATCCCGGTTGACAGATTCCTTCCTCGTGCTGCGACGATGATTGGCTCGTGGATGGGCCCGAACCCGCTCGGCAATTCTTGCCCTCGACGAGCGACCAAGAAAACACTTGGGAGAAGTCGCTTGCCGTAATCTGATGACGAGTTCCCGGTACCGTAACGGTATCTTTGGAGTCTAGAACGCTCTTCTTTTCTCTCGAGAACCCTTCCCCCCCCCACTCGTCGACGGCCGAGACCCCAAAGTCCGTTCGAGACTTGTCCCCGTCTAATTAAAGCCAAGCAGCTTTTCCCTGATGCTGATTTCCCCCCGAGATCCGGATTTTGTTGCGTTGGACTCCCCCGGCATGCTCTTCCCGCGCTCCCTCCACATTCGCTTCTTCTACACTTAGCTGCTGCGCCGGTTTCCCGCATACGCTTGGTCGACCGTCCCATATGCCACGATAGCAATTACACTCGGTCGGATGCGGATTCCTATCGCAGTGCAGCTTGCGCTGCTCGTCCTCATCACGACGCTGACGGGAGTCGCCATCCTCGCCATTGCCACAGTACGCTCCCTTTCCTCCCTCCCCCGGGTTCTGAAGGTTGGGCGATTGAGATATCCGTGCTGACAGTGGTCTGGAGTGGTTTACCACCTATAATTTTGTGGTGGACGTCGGGTAAGTCCGCATTTCAACCGGCGCAACGCATCGATCGCGCCCAAATACTTATATATAACATTCCAACAGAGCGCAAGGTCTCGAGCTCGTGGCAACCATCAAGGCGAGTCAGATTGCATCCACACTCGAGGTCGTCGAGGTGACCTGCAAGACAATCTCCACCCGAATCTTAATCCAGGCAGCCCTCAAGCGATACTATGCCGGCAATGACTCGACCAGCAATTGGAGCAATTCCATCTTGGATTTCCAGTCGGCACTCGGCAGCCGAGGCTTCCTCAGCCTGTACCAGGTGATGCTGTATTCGCGAAATGGAGAAAATGGAGACTCGCCATTGCTCAATGTCACCAGCGACACGCTCCCGGACATAACCCTACCCTATACCGACGCCAATGGGACCGCCGTCATGCTGGGAGATGAGGTCTTCCCCCCCATGCTCTATCCGAATTTGACCTACACCCAGTCCGCCAACGATAACTCCTCATGGACCGTACGCGCCTTCTCGGACTATACGCTTGGTTTGAGCACGACATTGCTGCTGGGCCCGCTATGGGTCAACGACTCATTTTCCTTGATATCATTGACCCTGCCCATTGTCAACAACACCTCCGATACCGAGCTCCTAGGCTTCATGACGTACGTGGTCTTTTCTTTCCGGCTACCTCGTTCGAGCGATTGAATTCGCATGCTAATGTCTTCAAGCGTAATGGCAAGTGCCGCGAGCATCCAGGACGTCATCTCGTCTCGCGATGGACTGGGAGACACCGGCCAGGTGCTACTCTTGGGGCCCTCTCGACCGGAGAACCTATTCGCCGGGGATGCTCAGCCTGCAACCGCAACTTCCACCGCCGACTCCGCCGGTTTGGCGGATGCCCAGGTTCATTATGTCTTTGAACCAACCCCACTACCCGGCCAGATGAGCCGGCATCGCGAGATGACAACCAGTACCCCGTTCGCGCTGTCGAAGTACCCGGTGGCACTGGAGGTCATGCGGCAGTCATACGATCAGGAGAACGGATCCATCAGTCGACTATCGACCACCAACGAGGAAGGGGCTCGGGTAGCGGTGGGCGCCATTCGTCCTCAGACACAATTGGCGGAGTGGATCCTCGTCGTGGAAGAGACGCATTCAGAGGCATTCAGTCCCGTCCTACGTTTGAGAAAAATTATCCTGGCGTGTTTCTTTGGCACGGCGGGCGCCATCCTCCTGCTCGTGCCACTCCTCACCCACTGGGCAGTGGCTCCGATTCGAAGGTTGCAAGAAGCTGCCCGCAAGTCAGTCGTGCCGCAAATCCAAACCCCGCCCTCTTCACGACAAGAGCCTACGGGTAGCGACTCTCACGAGGGCGACGTCGAAGCCATCGAGGAGCAGCTGGACGAGAAGAGCAGTCCTGTCTCGTGGGTGAAGCATATTCGGCGACCGCTGCAGCGATTCAATAGTGCGGGTAATCTGGTCACCAGCACTGCTCATCGGCCATTCCGAATCCCGGCGCGCGTGAAAGAACGACGGCATTTCGTGAAAGATGAATTGACGGAATTGACCAGCACCTTTAATGAGATGTCCGATGAATTGACCATCCAGTACAATCGTCTGGAAGAGCGAGTAGCTGAACGAACTCGCGAATTGGAGAAGGCCAAGCTGACCGCCGAAACAGCCAACGAGAGCAAGACTTTGTTCATTGCCAACATCTCTCATGAGCTGAAGACCCCACTGAACGGCATTTTGGGCATGTGCGCGGTCTGCATGGGCGAGGATGACCTGTCTCGAGTTAAAAAATCTCTACAAGTGGTCTATCAGTCGGGCGATCTGCTTCTGCATCTGTTGAATGACCTGTTGACGTTCAGCAAAAATCAAATCGAGCAGGCCATTCAGCTGGAAGAGAAGGAATTCCGCATTTCCGACATCCGATCCCAATTGAGCACCATTTTCCAAAATCAGGTTCACGAAAAGCGAATCGATTTCAGCGTGGACTGTTTTGCAGGAGACGAAATCCAAACCGGTCCCCGGAGTCGTATGTGCTCGGACGGGGACCATGGGCAACCACGTTCCAGTTCGGATGGCACGCAACCAGCGAAGCTTATGGATATGGTTCTGTGGGGGGACCAACATCGAATCCTACAGGTCTTGATCAACTTGGTGAGCAACAGTCTCAAGTTCACGCCCGAAAACGGAACGGTGGCGGTGCGCATTCGTTGTATGGGGGACGCTACCAGCGGCATTGAGGATGTTGAGTCCCCGACAGAAGGTCGCGCAGGAAATCCGCAGCTCCTCGTCGATACTTCTCCAATTCGAAGAAGCGTGCCCGAAAAAACTGGTCAACAGGCTGAGACTGCGAACGCAGATCAGTCATCTACTGTTGCTCACCTTCCACAATTGCTCTTCCAATTTGAAGTCGAGGACAACGGACCGGGCATTCCGGGCCATCTCCAGCGGCGCGTCTTTGATCCTTTCGTGCAAGGTGACTTGGGATTGAATCGGAAGTACGGAGGTACGGGACTGGGACTGAGCATCTGTGCTCAGTTGTCCCGCATCATGGGTGGTGTGATTCTCCTGGACAGCCGGGAGGGGCGAGGATCCATGTTCACACTGCGGATTCCGCTCAGGTTCGTGAAGGAACTTGCCCCAAGCACACTTGCACCTAGTACGCCAGGCTCGCGAACGCCCAGCGTGCTCTCCTTGGAAGAATTCGCAAACGCAGCACGAACCCCGTCCAATCATGGCTCCGTGCGAAATGAGTCGGTTGCTCCGGGATTCGAAAAGTCGGACGTCCAGCCCCGACTAGTGGGTCTGAGTCAGCCTTTCTTCACACCGACGGTCCCGTCCTCCGCGCCGACATCTCCCCCCAAGAACTCTGGCTCAAATCCTGGTGCCACCAAGAAAGACGAACATGCCAAGAAGATCCGTGTGTTGGTCGCAGAGGACAACACCGTCAACCAGGAAGTTGTGAGACGGTAAGGATGAGAGATATCATGCCCTTCAGATTACATGAGCTGACTTCTACCAGGATGTTGGCCCTTGAAGAGGTTTACGACGTGACCATGGTCAAGGATGGACAGGAGGCGTTCGACACCGTCAAAGCCAACATGGAAACAGGTGCAGTCTTTGATCTGATATTTATGGATATCCAGGTAAGGATCCGCTACCCGGAACGATTGATCTTAATCTGTGCTAATTTATGATAGATGCCGAATCTGGACGGCCTCCAGAGCACGCGACTTATTCGCGAGATGGGATACTCAGCCCCCATTGTGGCGTTGAGTGCTTTTGCGGAAGAGAGCAACATCAAGGACTGCATGGATTGTGGTATGGATATGTTCATGAGGTATGTTCGGACTAGCAATCTGTTTATACATTGAAATGCTAATGTGTCTCAGCAAACCCATACGACGGCCTGTGTTGAAGCAAGTGCTTCACAAATTCGCTACTATACCCGAGGAATTCGAGTCCAGCGCATCGACCAGTGCATCTGGTTGAGTTTATTTGTTGTGGATATGTATTTATTGTCGGCGCAAGTATGGACGGTGGGAATGCATTGAAGTGACGTTATGGGCGATTTTTATCTTTTTTTTTTTGTATTTACATAGGACCATTGAAACACGGAAGGCCTATCTGGCTCTCTTGGAGCATCATTCAACCTTGCGTGAGCAATTTCTTTTTGAACGCTCCATCAAACCTGCTTCTACACCTACGTCTAGGAGATTATCACCATTGACAAAACCGCACACGACCAGAACACTGCTTACCCACCCTTCAACATCATGCTATAAAGTCACGGATTGGAATATAGTTCCAAGTAACAACAATTCAAAAGGCATTGGAAACCGATCTCGAAAAGAATTATCGATGGCTATCTGTGGCTGGACCTTTTAAACATGCAGATTCGGACTTTTGGGAGCCGCATGACCTATTGATTTCTATTCCCTAGGCTGTCTTACAGGAAATACTTGACACCTGAATGATAAAAGAAAGTGATTTACGGTTGATGGATGACGAACCAGCCTCTACATTAATAAGAGAATCACCACGAATCTACTTGGGGAGCAAATATGGATCACGTCTGATTAGAGTTGCCAAGAAGGTTGAAGGAAGTGGGGAAGACCCATGTGGGCAAAAAACAACTCTCTCTTAGCGAAATCGATTTCTTGGTTTATCTCGAGATCCAGGGCTTGTGTAGCCTTGCAGATACCTCGAATTCTAATTAACTTCACGCGCTACCGATTCATACAGGTTTCGACCTGGAGCAGCCGTCATGAGTTTCCATTCGTGCACTGAAGATGGAGGAAAGGGGATTCAGATCAAGCAGGTCATCGTGATGTGGGTGTTAAGGCTCGGGTCAATTTGATTTCCTCTACGGAGACCTCACGCAGGACCAAGTCGCGGGCTCGATATGGTTGTGGACTGCCTCAGGGCTAGCAAGTCACCTGATGGTGAGGCCCAGCAAGGAGCCGTTCAGAACATCGAGGCATAGGGCGGGTTTGCATCACGTGTCAGATCTTCCGAGTCCGAGGTCACGTGCTGTATTGCCCCGCGTAAACGCATTTCCGTGCGGAGTCGCTCGGCAACTTTCAACGGCTACAGCCGATCGAATGAGGTCAAGAATGGCATTGGCATTGGCAGTGGCAGTGGCAGTGGCAGTGGTCATCGGCGTGGAACCGGAACAGCTATACGGTTGATGTATCGACGGCTTCACCACAGAGTGCTTCCACCGTCTCGTCTTTACACCTCTCTATTCAGCACGACCACAACGCGCGTCATGCGGCTTCCATACGCCCCCAACACCCCGCCCACCGATTGTGACGATGCCGCCGAGACCGCCGACATCTATGCCCGCATTGCGGCACGAAGAAACCCGCGACCCCTCATTCCCCTGGACCTCTCTCTGCTACACAGCCCACCCGTCGCGGACGGTTGGAACAGCTTCCTGGGCGCCATTCGCACGCGCACCATCGTGGACCTGGGTCTCCTCGAATTGGCCGTGTGCCGGGTCGCCGTGCTCAACGGCGCCGTGTACGAGTGGAATGCGCATGCCCCGCTCGCACTGAAGGGTGGTATTGCACCAGCGGAGCTACAGGCTTGCCGGACATTGCCCTGCACCGCGGAAGGTGACTTGGCCGAGTTGGAGAGTAGCGTGCTGACTCCCCGTCAGCGCGCCGTGCTGCGATACACCGACCAGATGACTCGGACCGTCAAGGTCGAGGATGCAGTCTTCACCCAGCTGCAGACTGTTGGATTCAACGACCGTGAGATTGTGGAGCTGACCACTGGCGTTGCGGGATACAACTGTGTGAGCCGGTTCCTGGTCGCGCTGGATGTGGGTGAGAATAATGACCGCGAAATGAAGAGCGTTGATGAATTGGTCGCTGCTCTGAAATGAGGCAGGCATAACCTATGCTTGACATCCTGACATGAACGGGTTCCGGTCTCGATACGAATCGGATCTGCATTGAGCTGGGCCTCCAATTAAAGCTCCCCGGGTTGGAGAAAATGTAGCAAGACACCATCACTACAGTGCCTCATTTCCGCGTTTATTTATTGGGTTGCTCTGGTCTTTTGAATAAATTCACCATTCCTCATTCCACCTTCCTAGGTCTGATTCGTCGCGCCTCTTCATCGTTGCTGACGTAGTCAACATGAATCCCGACCGCTATACTTCGTTGGTTTTGCAGCATAGCACGATTAGCGAGCCATCTCTCGTAGAAAAATGGGATGGCTGTCTAGTCTCCCACATCGTCGATGGTTGCTGCAACGCAAAGCTGATTGACCACATCATGTCTTCAATCCTTCGTCTCCCATTCTCCATAACTCTCTTTGCCTTTAGATGGCTCTTTTGAATGCGTCATCTTCAAATTGTATCAAGAGACGTTGCCCGAGGTATGGAAAACTTATTGGACAAGGCAAGTTGAAGCATACCTAACTAGAGGTGTTCGCTGATCCATTGATGCGGAGTTACGAACTATTAATATACGGTCGTGGCCACATGCTGATGAGTATGTACCATCGAACTTATGCCTCGATTGTTCAAGAGACTGGGAATCTATCGAAGTACAGAACTCGCTGCGTTAATTTTAGAAGTACATGTTCAAGATCGACTCTATCTATCCAACGTCATGCTCAAGGCAACACAATGTACTTCTCCAGATGCTTGGGGATGGCCGAACGCAGGTTCTTCGATTCTAGCCACGTCTGGGAGAACAACCGATCGGCGTAGCGGTAAGCACCATCGCAGAGAACGGTCACCACCGTGTTGCCCTTGCCAAGTTTTTCGGCCACTTCCTTGGCAGCCACCACGTTCAAAGCGGAGCTGGCTCCGAGGTAGAGACCCTCCTCATCCAGGCAGCGATAGACCATCTCAATGGTCTTCTCGTCGGAGATGTTCAGAGAACCATCCAGAAGATCAATATCGGGCTGCAGATTATCCGTCACACGTCCCTGGCCAATGCCCTCGGTGATGCTGCCCCCAGATCGGTCAGTCAACTTGCCACCGCTTTGAATGTAGCTGTGCAGGACACTGCCAGGCGGGTCGGCCAAGAAGCTCTTGACCTTGCCGTCGCTGGCAGTCTTGAGGTAGCGAGTGATTCCAGCAAGCGTGCCGCCAGTACCGGTCGCGCAGGTGAAAGCATCGATCTTGCCGCCGGTTTGTGCCCAGATCTCTGGACCTGTGGTTTCGATGTGAGCTTGGCGATTGGCCGTGTTGTCGAATTGGTTGGTCCAAACGGCATTGTCCAGTGACTCCGCATGGCGGCGTGCCTGGTGGTTGTAGTTCTCGGGGTTGTCGAATGCCACCGCGGGGACTGGGTAGACCTCCGCACCGAGGAGTCGGAGCAGGTCAATCTTGCCCTGCGATTGCGTGTTGGGCATGTAGATGACCAGCTTGTAGCCCTTGGAGCGACACACGTGGGCCAGGCCAATTCCCGTGTTGCCAGCAGTTCCCTCCACAACGGTGCCACCCGGGTGCAGCAATCCCTTCTTCTCGGCATCTTCAACCACAAACAGTGCAGCACGGTCCTTTACACTTCCACCGGGGTTCTGGAACTCGGCTTTGCCCAGGACATTGCACCCGGTTTCTTCTGAGAGTCGCTTCAATCGGATCAAGGGGGTGTTGCCGATGGCTTTGCAGAGGGAGGCCAATCAGTGTCATGTCCTTGGTTGAGCTCTTCCGGAGCTTGACATACCTTCTGTCAGTCCATTTACAACGCCCTGCGCCGTAGACACGCGAGTGGTATAGGACGTCTCCGCGGCCGCGGCCCGAAGAGCCGTTGTTCCGAAGCGTCTAATGCTCTGACGGAACATCTTTCAGGCTGGTATTGAAACCGTGAATCGACAAATGAATCAAGCGGTGGTCTTAACCTCCAAGATGGGCCGAGGGTACTCCGATGACGGCCGAGGTGGGTCCCACGTGATCCATACCGATTGCGCAATCCTTATCTTATCGGCTGGTTTGGTTTAGTTTGTTCTGTTTGTCCTCTAGTATGAGCCTCGGTTCTCGACGTGACATTGCAATGGATTGAGACAACTATAGTTAAGTTACTGAATGTAGCATCACATTACTAAGAGAACAACCTTACCCTTTCCCAACTCTCTTGGAAGATAAATTGCCCGTCAATCCAGAAACACATTGTTTAATCAAAAAGTTGGCTTCCATTGCATGTATCTAGGTCCGAGATATATTCCTGACCCGAGCGCCCTTGATCCGGCTAACGAGAAAAAAAGAAAAAAGGAAAAAAAATATCAGATAGAGCTTCCAGCTAAGAGCCTGCGCTGCGCATAACTTGGGGGCAAATATAAGGAAGCCCAAGAGAAAAAAAAGTAAAGGAACGAAAATAGAAAAACAGAAATGGTCATGGAATGGTATAAGCGTTCATCACGACGGGCACTACTCTCCCTTTAGACAGTCTCAATGTACCGTCGTACCTCCCTAAAAACAAAACGTTAGTTCGAAGCCATTGGAAATCTGGGGAAACAGGACGGACGGGTGGAAGAGTCCATTATCCGTTGGATACACTTACCAGTCGGTTACAGCCTCTTCCCACAGTCGAATCTCGTGCTCCCTCGTGCCGCCGAAGTGGTCCACGAAAGTATCACCAAATACTTCCCGAGCCACACTGTCCGGCCGTGTGAATGTAGCAACTGCCTCCTTAAGAGACTTAGCTAGCCGCACACCCTGGTCGCTGGCACCACCCATATCCTCGCCCTTGGACAAGGGTGGCACGGGGATCTCAAGCTTCTTCTCGACGCCACGCCAGCCCAGGGCCATGATCGCAGCAAGGACAAAGTGTGGGTTCGTATCTGCGCCAGGAGTACGGACTTCAAAGCGTGTCGCCTTCGCACTGGCCGTGGGAGGTGTGATTAGCCGGATGGATGCTGCGCGGTGCTCCAAGCCCCATGATACGGTGACCGGAGCCCAGAAGTTCTCCACCAGGCGCTTGTAGGAATTGATGGTGGGCGCAAAGAGCGGCATGACGTCAGGTAGACCCACCAACAGGCCTGCGAGGAAATGACGGCCCAAGTCCGACAAGTGTGCCACATCTGGGTAAGGAGGAGAAGGGTCAGGAGTGTCGCGAATGAAAGCATTCTTGCCATCCGCAGTGACAAGAGAGATGTGCATGTGGCCACTGTTTCCGGGTAGACCCTGGCGTGGTTTGGCCATGAAGCAAGGCGTGATGCCGTGTTTGATACCGTAAGCCTTGACAACATATCTACTCGGAGAGAACGTGTGATTAGCTCGAGCGTCAATGTACAACTCCGACACGTCACAGATTCTCTCACTTGAATAAGCCAGCCTTATCGGCCATCTCCTTGGCCTCGCCGAATTGAAGTGCCTGTCACGAGTCCCAGTGTTAGCCCAGCGTGCACGCATGCCAAGTACAGAGCATTATCGCAAGGCGTGCGACATGATAGCGACTCACGGCCTCAAAAACACCCGGTCCGCTCTCTGTGTGCCACCCCTCAATGTCGCAACGGAACTGCTCGCAAGCATCGAAAATGCCATAATAGTAATCCTGGTTGTGCAAGGGGCGGGTAATCGAGTAGCCAAACATGCCCTCCGTTAATGGTGGCAATGAATCGACGGGGTTCGTCTGCAGGAAAGACGCCGTGGCAGATGCTGCGCGCTCTGGAGTGGGATAGTCGCCCGGCGCCCGGAACTGGTAGAATTCATACTCGGCTGCGATGCGTTAGCTGGCTGAGATGCTAAATGCCTGCGTGTGAGAGGTGAATTGCCATTGGACGTACCTCCCGCCATGGCGCGATAGCCGGCCGCCTCGGCTTTTGCGGACACGCTCTTTAACAGCCCGCGTGGGCACGCGCAAACCGGTTTTCGCGTGTCCGGGTCCAAGAAGCTGACGAGGAAAAACGGCACATTGTTCTCCCAGGGAATACGCCGAAAGCTGCTGAGATCTGGTACTGCGACGAGATCGCGATAACCGTTCTCCTTGTTGCTGATAGAGAGCTCTTTGTAGTAGGTCATATCATGCTGGTCCCAGCCAAAAATCACGGAGCAGAAGCCAAAGCCCTCGGAGACGATGGAGAGGAACTTGCTCTTCATCATGAGCTTGCCGCGCAGCTGGCCATCCACATCGATACCGGCGACCTTGACCATGCGATCATTTTGAAGGATCTCTGCCACATTCGCAGCGGTGACGTCGGGGGCCGACATCGTGTAATGTGGAAGAGAGGGTGTCGAGGTTCACGGTACAGTGATTGTGAGGGAAGGTGATCGAGATCCACGACAGTTACAGGAGAAGGAGATGTTATCTTGAGAATTGTGAAGAGGGGCTGCCACCAGATGCCCTGAGCACAAGCTTATCAGTGAAGGTCATTCTGCCGGTTTGGCTGGGGCCCCATTTTCAGCCACTGAATTGGAGGAGGAGCCGACGCAGAGCGATGGGCCGTCGGATAGGCGCCGGCGGACCCACAGCGCGGTCCGCGCGGTCTCGTGAGGGCGGTCTCGGCTTATCTAATCTGTGCCCCGCGGTCTCTTGGGAGTATACAGCTTGATCTCGAGACCGCCCGCATGATTTGTGGGTGACAACTCAACTACTCGTTCTCCCGTTGCCCTCTCTTCTCCCCTGATTCATCCGCGCGCTACCATTGACTCTGTCAGGTCTCTTGCACGGTGAGTGTCCATCACAGCTGCGCGAGTCATAAAGCTGCGCATCTTCCCCGCGGGGACTCCGAGTATCAGGTCACTAACAGCTCAAACATTTGCAGAAGCTTCTTACCCCACCAATTCATAATGTCTGCTCCCAAGGGTCGCCTTCAAGGCAAGAATGCCATTATCACTGGTGCTGCTGGGTAAGACCATTCAACTCTCTTCACTTGCTCGATCATCTTCGGAAACCAGCTCGCTAATCCCTTCACTCGACTTGCACAGTGGCATTGGCCTCGAAACCACCATCCTCTTCGCCCGCGAGGGTGCCAACATCCTCCTCGCCGATATCTCTGAGCCAGCATTGGCCAAAGCTTTGGCCAAGGTCAAGGAGGTGGTCCCAACCGCTGGCCGTCTGGAGACTATCCGTTGCGACGTGTCGAAGGAGGCGGATGTCCAGGCCATGGTCGAGTCACAGGACAGCTGGGGTGGTGTGGATGTGATTTTCAATAATGCGGGTATTATGCATGCCGATGATGCCGACGCAGTCGATACCCCCGAGAAGATCTGGGATCTGACTCAGAGCATCAACGTGAAGGGTGTGTGGTTCGGCTGCAAGCACGCCGTGCTGAGCATGCGCCGCAACAACAAGAAGTCAGGCAGTGTGATCAATACGGCCAGCTTCGTCGCTCTAATGGGTGCTGCCACCCCTCAGCTGGCGTACACTGCCAGCAAGGGTGCGGTTCTGGCTCTGACTCGCGAGTTGGCTATTGTGCATGCCCGTGAGGGCTTCCGTTTCAACTCGCTCTGCCCGGGTCCTCTCAAGTAAGAAATTCTCACTTCCATAAATATGCTTTCATCCACTAACCGTGTTGGTAGTACTCCCCTCTTGCAAGACTGGCTCGGTGATGATCATGCCAAGCGCTTCCGCCGTGAGGTGCATTTCCCTAGCGGTCGCTTCGGTGAGGCCATCGAGCAAGCACACGCCGTGGTGTTCTTGGCGAGTGACGAGAGCAGCTTTGTCAATGGCACAGATTTCGTCGTAGACGGCGGCCTCAGCAAGGTAGGTTCCCGATGCATGTTGATGTTCTCCCCCATAATAACAGCACTAATACGAATGAATCTTGGTAGGCATATGTCACTGCGGAAGGTCCGGCGCCAGCTGCGCCTAAGAACCTCGCCCACTAAGAGGGCTACTCTTAATGAAACGAATTTTCTTCTTGCGTTGACCTCGTTTGAGTTTACACAATGTTTGGCACCTCGTCATAGGGTACCCTGTTCAGGTTTTCGGGCTTTCTTTTAAATCAATAGAAATTTATCATGATCGGATTGGAGAATAAATAACGCTTTGCAAGGAATATCTTGCGAAGTATGCTGATATTAACGTGGGACAAATGCCTGACCTTATTGGAATGTGTAGACCCCCATTCTAAGATGGAGATGATAATTTGCCTCCGTTGTGGAGGTACTGTTGAGCGATATACCGGGCTCAGCTCGTGTCTCATTAGTACTCTGGCCATTGAGGGTCCACTTGTTCTCGCCAAGCGCGTAGGCCGCCTCGAATGTCTCCAATGAATCTTCGTCCATCGCGGTCCAGCCCCAGATCTTTCATTCTCTGGACCGCAAGCTGAGAGTCATTGCCGAGTCGACAGACGACGTATATTGGGTCGTTGGACTCGGAGGCGACCAGCTCTGCTGGAACCCACGAGGGAGTTTCATCCGTTGACGTAGAGGCCAGAATGTTTGAGATGGGAATGTTAATGCTCTCTTCCAGGCTGCAGATTCCAAATTGAACCTTGTCTCGCACATCGATAATCGTATGACCCCTTGGAGAGGCCGGCTGACCAGACGAATCTTGGGCTCCGAGATCAACATGTGGATACTTGTCGTGATACTCCCGGGCCGATATGCGTTCAGTGGGAGCGAGGAGTGACGGCGGATGGGCCGAGCCACAGAAGAACACATAGTCCGTAGACCCGGAGGTGATGGTATCCAAGGTAACAGTGGCTTCTGGAGAGCACACTGCGCAATTGGCCCTACGAGAACGAATTCGAATCGTCCGGAACAGGGGATTCGAATATGCGGAGAACATGTGCAGCAGAGGAGATTCTCGTGAACCTGCCCCCGGGGTTTGTTCCTTGCCAGTCTGGGCAGTGATGACCTTGATCGCTTCTAGAGCCTGCAACACGCCCATGGTCCCAACCACTGGCCCCAAGATACCACCATCCGCACAGCTCACAACACTATCGGCGGGAGGAGGCTTTGGAAAGACACAGCGATAGCAAGGCCCTCCTTCTGTATCGCCAGGTGGCCGAGGAGGATTGTTCAACACCATCAATTGTCCTTCAGTGCGTAAGGCGGATGCAGAGACCAATGGTTTCCCCAAGAGCACCGCAGTATCCGAAATGAGGTATCGTGTAGCAGGATTATCCGTGCAATCGAGAATGAGGTCATATTGAGCAAAGATCGCTGGCGCCTCGCTGGGCGTGAGGTGTGTTCGGTGGGCAATGTAGGTCGTATGGGGATTCAGACTGTTATGGGAGAGCGCGAGAGTCAGGCATGGGGTATGATCGTCATGGAAATCTCGGGATCAGGACTCACTCTCGCAACGACTCAATGGCACTATCCACTTTGAATTTGCCCACATTGCGGCTACGGTGGAGGACCTGGCGATGCAGATTCGAGACCTCGACCGTGTCTCCATCAATCAGGCCCAGTGTACCCACACCCGCGCCAGCAAGATACTGTGCAGCAGGGCATCCCAGGCCACCGGCCCCGACCAGAAGGACCTTGGCCGCTTGCAGCTTCAGTTGACCTGTTAAAGCCGATAGACCGCATTGTTAGCGATGTTGGATCCTCGTCGCCGTGCGAGCCCATCCCGATTGGCACGAAACTTACCTTCCAACCCGACTTGCGACACGATCATTTGTCTACCATATCGCTTATACTCCTCTTGCAGTAACGGCCATCGAGACTCTGTCTTTGCTTGATCGTGCCGGTTGCTGTCCGAGTCTTCTACGCCGTTCGAGTTCGCAGCGGCAGTTTCCTGGGCGCTGGCAAGCTCCCGTTTGAGCCCAGCAAGCTGTGCCTCGGTAGCTGCAATTTGCGCTCGCAGAGAGGCGCACTTTTCTTCCAGATTGCTCATCAGAACCGCTTGCTGGGATAGACAGAGGTCAAGACGGCTTCGAAGACCAAAACTCGGAAATAGCTGCGGTGCTCAAACCTTCGAACTTCCCCGCGGGAATTTTACTGTACCACGTGCCGTGGTGGGGCACTCAGATGAGACCGTCATCGCTCCCCTGCTTGGCTTTGAGTTTTAACAGCCTTTTAAACCAACGGCCCGAATGCTTGCACCATAATCACTTTGACTCGAGCAACATGTGCCACGAAGCACACGGTAAAAGGCGTTCGTATGGTACATGGACATTGGACATTGACAATGAGCCAGGCTTATCAGCTTATCGCCCACCTCCTTATCGGCTATCACCTGATGGCTTATCAAACGATCGGCGTGGCTCATCACGGGTTCAAGTCACGTGCGGAGCACTCCGCAGTGCGTCACTCCCGGCGATAAGGCCCCAAGTGCGATAGCCCGTCTCCATCCTCGGCGTCCCTGCATCATCTACCATCATGGCTCGTTCTCAGCAGTCTCGAGCTCGGCTAAGGGCCACCTCAAGCCTTTGGGCGTTGTTATTTGCAGGTGTCGTACTACCGAACGCGGCAGAGGCTCATGACAGTGTGCCCGCGGTCCAGCTCCCCATCATTCCGCCACCCGTACCCTTGACCGAACCGGAGCTCTCATCCGAGCCGCATGAGTTTGTAAGTGACAGACAAGCGGTTTCCCCTCAGTTCCATGGCTAATCTTCTTTAGTCTCTCCGGCATATATTCCACCGAGGAGCATACCAACATCCCGAGCTGCACTCCAGGCTCGATGTCAACCCTAACACCCGCCTGTGGACATTGTCGGAAGATGGCACCGACCAAGAGCCTATTTCAAGCGAAGGCCCCTTGATAGCTTCATCATCTCCAATCACGATACAGCGCCTGGCGGATCGACGTCTATCTGTCATCGAAGGGTACTTGGCGGCTGCCCGATTCTCGGGCATAGCAACAACGTCATCGCCGTCAGACTGGGTGATGGATACACTCGCGGGTCCAAATGTCACGGACAAGCAGACGGTGTTGACATTTGCACAGATGACGGCGAATGATTATATTGAGGAACCCGGCACGGAGGATTGGCAAAATATCCACGGAAGGTTCAACTATTCCAACAGCTTCGGATGGCAGAGGGACGGCCTTCGGGGACACATCTATGCCGATAAAACCAACAGCACCATCGTGATTTCATTGAAAGGTACTTCCCCGGCTCTCTTTGACGGAGCTGGCACCACCACGAATGACAAGACCAACGACAACCTGTTTTTCAGCTGCTGCTGTGGCCAGGGAGGCTCGTACCTCTGGAGGCAAGTCTGTGACTGTCAGAGCGCCACGTATACCGCCAATTTGACCTGCATCGTCGAGGCGATGAATGACGAGAACATGTATTACAGAGCTGCCATTGATCTCTACTCCAACGTCACTGAGATCTACCCCAACGCAAATGTCTGGCTAACCGGGCATTCCCTGGGCGGTGCTATGGCCAGTCTTCTGGGCTTGACTTTTGGTCTCCCGACCGTCACATTTGAAGCAGTTCCCGAAGCCTTACCCGCAGCTCGACTCGGTCTTCCCAGCCCACCGGGCCATGACCCTCGTCTTCCACAATCGCGGAGCTTCACAGGGTCCTACCACTTTGGTCACACCGCCGATCCGGTGTATATGGGAACCTGCAATGGCATCAATTCCCTATGCACATGGGGTGGCTATGCAATGGAATCCGCCTGCCATACCGGTCAGATGTGTACCTATGACACGGTGGGGGACAAAGGCTGGCGTGTGGGCCTTGGAACGCATAAGATCAGGAACGTCATCTCCGACGTGATCAACGTTTACGACGATGTGCCACCGTGTGCTCCAGAGGAGGAGTGTTACGACTGTGTCCTTTGGAAGTTTTTCAAGAGCAATGGCTCCGAGATTACTACCACAACGACAACGACCAAGGCCTCTCCAACCCTCACTAGAACATCTACATGTAAGACTCCGGGCTGGTGGGGCTGCCTAGACGAGTCAACCACAACGACTACTACGACAACTGCAACAAGCACAACAATTTCAACTACCACATCGACCTGCAAGACGCCCGGCTGGTTTGGCTGCAATGACCCCACAACCACAAGCGCCTCTGCAACGTCCACGTCCACTTCCTCTACTTCCTCGTGCAAGACACCCGGTTGGTTCGGCTGCCATGATTCCACGTCTACCAGTATCATGGTTACACCAGCGCCCACCATCACCACGCCAGCCTCATCGTCAGCTTCGGCAACTTGTCATGATCCGGGTTGGTTTGGATGTCGGGATCCTATCTCCGAACCAACACCCACCCATGAGTGAACCAGCCTTGACATGAAGCATTCTTGGATCCTTTGAGGGAGACTGTGATGAATGTCTTTTCAACATGTTTCGGTCCCAACCGCGATGCCGGCCACTCCGCATTGCTCTGGTTTGCATGAATATACCCAAGGAGTCCTCATTGAAGACAACCCGTCTCGACTGGCGACCGCCGCGATATACACGAACGAATTGATCTTAATCCTACCAACATACTCGGGAATTTCGAGCCCACCATATATAAACATGATACGACACACGCCCGAGCGAGCATTTTCTGTCTTTTGTTGCTTTCTTCTTTCTTTTCGTTCCGCTTAGACAACCCCGATGCGACTTTGATGGCGTTGTATAACTTCAGGTCTTTGGATTTTCGTTTTCTCTGCGAGGAGTTTTTTGGTGGTAGATTTGGATAGTCCCACATATAGCTTGCTTCGATATCGAACTGGACAATCACAGCTCTTTCTGATATATTGCCTTTTGTCTTTAGTAGATTACCTCTCGGTAATGAATAACTGTCACGGTTCGAATTTCTCCCATGTGTTCGTAAAATGTATGGCATTGAACGGTCTGTTATTAATGTACATGATTTGTCTCCACAGTTGATGTGATATGCCGCCATTTAGCTTCCACGACCGGCGTGGTGAATGGTATACGGCAAATCTGCCGGGCTGTGGGTCGGCGCCAGGCGAATCACACTGCCTCCAGAGCTGCCAGAATGACCTGACTGCACACGCCGGAGTGACCGAATCGACGGTGTACGTACAGGTCGTGGTCTTGTATAAGAGCTACTTCCGACAGAAAGTCTGGAAGCCGGGCTCTGCACCGCGGGAGCCGTATCATAACCCGACTGGGTTTCCCAAGTGGACGCATTGGACGGGCGAAGACTGTTGCTCCGCACCGGCGTGATTGCGCCTTCGTATCCAAAATGGTCCACGGTGTCCGTCTCACCCTCTTCATCCGAGGGCCCAATGACCGACTCTGTGTCTGCCCGACGGTAACTTGCGCTGTCGCGAATCACCTCAAGGACGGGAGGCGCCAGAGATGTAATTCCTCTCAAAATCTCGGCGAACAGATGCATGAGCTCGCGGAATTCGGCTTCATGGAGCTGGTGCGATGAAAAGCGCGCACGTTCATACAGCGCCAGAAAATCCGCACCGAGTTCCGAGGATTTGATGACACCCAGGTCTGTGAGATGCCGAATGTACTGTCTGAGGCCCATCGAGGCTGGCCGCTGAAGTGCTTCCACCACGCGGGTATCCGGAAATGGGTCTGCTACATTTGCCACGGAATCATCGGCAGGGGCTATTGACACAGCCTTGGCTTCAATCAGATTCGGAAGTTCCTTGATGACGGTTTGGTATGGGAGGTTGGGTAGATCGGGAGAAGCAGGGGATGACCAGCCAGGATGCTCCACGAAACCCCATGGCGGATGATCACGATTGACTAGAAGATCTTTGTAGTTCGAGAAGCTCTCCGCTTCGTCTGAGATATCGCGTGGACGAGCCTGGTACGAAATGACCGCGCTGCGGGCAAGTCCCTGCATTACCAGGCGCCTGACGCTCTTGTTGACATCTTCTTTCTCAACGGGAATCCATGCCTTTGGGATGCCGGCCAAGGCGGTGCGATTGGTGTAGATTCGGGTCGCATAGATGAGGATTGCAAGGATAAAGGTGATGACGTAGGCGCCAGCGATGAAGAAGATGTTCGTGAGTCGTTTGGTCTCCCAGCACTGGTAGATGGCATCGGCCGGGGTGAGGAGGATGAGGCAGAAGCAGATCAAGCAAAGGAAGAAGAAGGAACTGGAATTCAAGAAGCGCTCCAATCTCGCCGCCATGACTGTTCGCGCATGGTGTGGTGCGAACCGCCTAGGATTCGGTGGGTTGTCGAGGACAACGCGCCTGGGCTTGTTCCGTCTCGATGAGCCCTCGGGATGGCACGTGATGATAACGATCGAATACAGAGGAGCTCTTCGAGAAGCTTAATTCCGTCACAACGCGGGAATAACGTAATTCCCGGCCGACCGGCCGACCGGATTATCTCCATCAACAATTACATCTTCCATACGTTATCTACAGTACTACTGAGTGACGGAGGCATACCAATCACCAAGTCATCAATTGATTATTAGTCGGTGAAAGATTGAGCCTCAACTGATTTCCCCACTTTTCCATTCACAAATCATGGCAGCAACCCTCTTGTTGCCCACTTCTCGCTCCCTCAGGTACCACGACGGCATGCAACAGTGTACCTTAAGATAAGGTTATGATAGCGCCATCATGCCACTGAATTGACCGGCTTCCTCGATGGGCTTTACCCATTCCAAACGACTACCAATGTATAGCTCCGCTTGAGGTTTCCATTTAGCTAAAAATTCGTCGTCAAATATCCCTGCCCGAACGACAGTAATCTCGTCAGGTTCTCCATCAGGTTTGATCTTTCCTCCATAGAGCGGCGTGCCTATCGTTCTTGTTAGAGTTTTTTTTTTTTTTTTTCGCAATGGAGTATTACGATACACACCACAGTCAGGGCAGAAGTAGTTCCGGATTTCATTTCCACTGTCCGATGTTTTTGCTACTTCTTTGGGACTTCCCGAGATTTCCAGCTCTGCAGTTTTAACCACAAAACTGTAGCTATAGGGAGACCCAGTAAGTTTGCGACAATCGAGACAGTGACATAGTCCCTAGTGAAGAATTAGCTCAGATGGAGCTTGCAACAATTCGGACCCTGGAAGCTTGGAAGGCGCACTCACCGAGGTCAGGGGCTGGCCATTGAGTTCAATGCGAACTTTGCCGCAAAAACACGCACCAACGACCATTTTCCTACAAATTGGTATCTGTTTCACAAGCGTTCGGTGACAAGATTCCAAGGTTTTAAGATTCTATAACACGTTGGCTACATTCAGGCTGAGTTATAAGCACCTCACGGCCGGCCCCCAACAACAATGTCCCAACCGCACACAGTCAACTTCGTTACCAAGCCACAATGTCTCATTAGTCATCTACATTTAACCAACAGCAGACCGACACTGCCCAGGTGGTAACAACTTAACCTCGGCACTTTTGCCAAGGACTAATCGAGCAGAAGGAAGGAGCAAAGGTGCATTTTACATTAGCTAAAGTTGCGAGTGGATGATTTGTAAGACATCTGTAAGGAAACCGACAAATCGTCACTGTCTACTCGCCACGAAGCCACCTAAGACGGTCCAAGTTCTTGGAGAGTTCGCGCTAGGCAATTGGGTCTTTCCTTTAGACAAGAAGTGGCAGAATTATTTCGATAAAATGGAGATATAGGCCGATAATAGCATACGTGTCTCTTTGCAAAATCGTTTCCTTGGATTATCTCGAGATCTAGATTTGAACAGGTGCGACAGCAAGGGCGTTTGATGGTGGTGAACTTCAATAGCATTCCGTTCCCTCAAGATTGAGGGTTTCAAGGTGCAGATTCCGCGTCAACACCCCCATTCTAGGGGAACGAGGATGGAAGAGCGTCCAAGATACTCAGAACAACGACCCGACCAACATAGATGACATTGCAAGGACGGCCCGGTCAGTTTTGTACCATATTGAGATTGACAACCACGAGACCAATGGATTCGAAGAGATGTCGATCGTACGGAGAGTACTCTAATTATCCAGGTTCCCGCCTTCAACCATCTGTTTCTCTTCCATCTGGAGGAGAGAATTTGACTGCGTATGCTGCAAGAAAGGGATGCCATGGTCGCACAAAATCATACGATTGATTGGGTAGCAAGATCTGTTCCACCCGCCCCGTCAGCTTTGACTCACCTTTCTCCCACTGTCTGGACATTTCAATCATTGGGCGCTCTGCTTCTGGTTTCCAGACGGTGTTACCTGACGTGTCATTCTACGGCTGTGTCTTATGTCCACCACTCAGAACCTTCACCATATTCCGTATTTATATATACGATGGCATGACCTGGCCAGTCCAGGGTGAAGATGTTACACATGCGCATACAAATGGATCAACCTTGTGAAGAAAGCAGCGACCCCCTCATCAACACGCACATCGACTGATCGTTCTACTCGAACGAAAAACTTGCTTTAATAACTTCGAATTACCTTGTTCTGACCCCGTTGTCATGATCAGCATAATTTACTGGGCTCCAGCAAGCATGTGAACCCTCCATTCGATACATTGCTACACAAGTTTCAGGGTGGTCCAGTCCCACAATCCAAGAAGAAAATATGTCAAGGTTGCCTAGGCCGAGGCAGTGTAAGGCGAGTCAGCTTGCAGACATAAGGCCGCCACGTATGAAGAAGCTGTCACAGACCCTGTACCTGCGGACGAGTGCTTCTTCATAAATCCAGGCTACCACTATTAGGGATAGCAATGTAGCTACCCTATATAAGACGTCGATCTCCTACAGCCACTGCTCTCTTGCATGCCAAGAAAGCTTTTTCAAATCGCCTTGGTATTCGAAGTATCACAAGAACTATGGAAACAGCAAAGGAAAACGGCGAATCAAAGACAGATGTGTAAGAGTTCATTGTACGTGTCTATCGATGACGGCGATTCTGATTTTCATTCCAGGCTCATTATTGGCGCAGGACCATCGGGTCTCATGGCAGCGTATTGGATGGCTCGCTGCGGCATCCAGGCTCGCATTGTGGACAAGCGGGGGACGAAAGTGTTCACGGGCCAAGCTGATGGCTTACGCGTGAGGACCCTCGAGCTATTTGACAGCATGGGGTTTCAGCATCGTGTTCAACAGGAGGGTCATGTAGCTGTTGAAGCTAACTTTTGGGTCTGATAGCTCTCCTCAGTTTCAGAATGCAAAAGCTGACGACAAGTGTAATAGGTTCCCGACGGGAAAGGAAACCTCGTTCGGCAAGGTCCACACTGCAGCTCCAAAGCCAACGAGTCACCCTTCCGCAATATGCTCCTGAACCAAGGCCGCATCGAGCGATTTCTGTTAGACAGTATTCAAAACCACTCCGACCTTCAAGTTGAGCGGGGTGTGATTGCAGAAACGTTTGAATACGACGAGCAGATGAACGACGATCCAAATAGCTATCCGATTACCGTCAAGCTACGAACGTTGAGTGGCGAAGAAGCAAATGGTCCGAGTCTTCGAGTGAATGAAACGAACCAAACCACCGTAGCCAGTGGAGTGACTCGAGGCAATCTACTCATGGATGACTGGAACGAGCTGGTTGAAAATAGTAGAGCCAAGGAGACTAAAACGGAGATCGTAAAGGCCAAATATCTGATTGGCTGTGATGGGGCACATAGTTGGACGAGAAAGCAGGTAAACATCCCCTTGGAGGGTTCAACTACAGATCATGTTTGGTAGGTGAAAAAGCCGCCCCCCACGCGCTTCTTCCATTCCTCGACTCATGGGGCCCTTGGCTGATTTGACTTTTCCAGGGGTGTGATTGATGTGATCCCAATAAGCGACTTTCGTAAGTATACTGGCGTCCAAAGCTGTAAGCCAACTTGAGTTCATCTGGTTGACTTGAATGAATCAGCGGATATCCGTCGCCTGGGGACTGTGACCCATGCGTCGGGTACCATCCTTGTTATTCCTCGGGAACGGAGCATGGTCCGTTTATATGTTCCAGTTCAGACAATAGAAGAAGTCACCACCAGTGAAGGTCGCTTTGATCGCTCGAAAATCACACTGGAGATCATCAAGCGGCGAGTCCAAGCAATCTTCGCTCCCTATACTTTCGATTTCCAGATCTGTGACTGGTGGGCTGCATACCAGATTGGACAACGGATTGCGCCAGCTTTCTCCAAAGGAAACAGAATCTTCCTCGCTGGAGATGCAGTCCATACACATTCGCCTAAGGTGGGCCTAGGAATGAACATGAGTATGCAAGATGGCTTCAACATAGGCTGGAAGGTAGCTCTGGTGGCAAGTGGCGTTGCGCAGCCGTCGATTCTTAGTACCTATGATGCAGAAAGGCATCGGCTGGCCGAGATGCTGCTCGACTTCGATCGGCATTGGTCCGGGCTGTTCACTGAAGGTGATGAAGAGAGCAAAACCCAAAGCATGATCAAAGTCGTTGAACTATTTGAAGATTTTGCAGATGGACGCAAGTCATTTTATGGTGCTAGTGAGCTGGTCTGGAAACCCGAAAATGACGGGGACCAGCCTACAGCTCGGCATTTGATCCCCGGAGAGCGTTTCCCACCAGTCAAGCTGCGTATGCAAGCAGATGGCAACCTCAGATGGACAACAAGGCTTCTAGAAAGTGACGGGCGATTCCGAGTGGTGATTCTGGCCGGTGATATGCGGGCAGCGACTCAGAAAGATCGCGTTCTGGCATTGGCACGAAATCTTTCTGGAGGTAATGACAATGAGTTGTCGGTCTTTGACCGTTATACTCCTCTCGCGGGCCGTTTCGATTGTGCAATCGACGTGATAGCCATACATAGTGCGCCTTGGACCCAAGTGGAGTTCTTTGACTTCCCAAAGATTCTGCGCCCGTTTGATCCAGTTCGAGGCTGGAACTATGATAAAATTTGGTGTGATGATGCTTGCATATGGGATAGGGATTGTGATGGCAAGGGGTATGAACGATGGGAGGTGGATCGAATGCGAGGCGCAATGGTGGTCGTTCGTCCCGATCAATATATCGGGTGGGTTGGGGAGCTTGAAGAGGTGGATGAATTGACTCGTTATTTGGATGGAGTTTTGATCAGAAAGACAGCCAATAATTGCCCGCACTAGGCTTTACTGGTGATGGTCATCTCAAGAAAGACTTAGTTCCATATGTCACCGTCTATGATAGAATTACATCTAAAATCCGATGACTTGTGAAATCGACGCGAAAATGACAGCCTCTGGAGCCAGACACGGCTGCCTTTTCACCCGTAGCTTTGGACGTGCCGATTCTTCACCTCGAAGTTGAGATTGATACGGAGCCCCGAAGCAGTGAGTTACACGGATACAGTGTAGTCGTGGGATGGAAGTGTTCTTTTCAAAAAGAGCGCCCTTGGAAACCGTAAACATCGAGACATCGAGGCCTTGACAATCCTCATCGGTAGTCTCATACAGGTGGCTGTTGCAGTTGGCTAACAAAGATTCACTTTTCCAGGGCACTTCCCCAAAAGCCCTTACCAAGGGATAACGTATTCTTTCCAATGTTTTTCTGTATCGGCCTCTTTGAACTTGTCAAACCCACCGACGACACCGTCGTGGCCGACCAGCCAATCACCCATTTCCACGCGTTCAGCCCAATTGTCGAATACTCTGTGTAGATATGAGCTACGTGAATCCCAAGGTAAATAGCCACTATATCCACTAAATGAATCCGACTGATATAGTTGATCAGATAGGCTCTCCATACCCCTGAGATCCTTGATAAATGGAACACCATTGCTACTTCGAGCAAACCCGTTTTTGCCAATTTCAAAGGGCAGCAGTAGTCGACTTGCGTTGCTAGATTCCCAGTTGAAATATTCATCGGTAGGTTCGATATATAAACCAGCGGGAATGTCTGCTCTAATACCGCGGGGAAACCAGGGCCAACCCCAGGGGGACTTATTCTCCTGCTCTCCTCGAAATAGTAGTAGAGGGAAATCCGTTGTCGACTGACTAGTAATGAATGATTTTGGAAAGCGGTCGTTATTGTGGCATTTCGCAAAAGGCTGATTCATGAATTCGTCGGGACTTTGCAATTTAATCCCGGGAGCAATATAGCGAAACTTGAGTTGACGGACGGGGAGAGCCGAGAGAAATCGTCCGCTAAAGGAACCCACGTTTATAGATAAAGCACCAATCACGGATTCTGAGTAGGGAAGAGCCATCTTTTCAAAGCTGAGCTGCTCGAGGGTATCGCCATCTGTCGAACTGGAAGGAAGCCGGGCCTCGATAGCATCAAGAAGACGAGTAAAGGCAGTGACAGCCCCCTCCACATCCTTGAGAGTATATTGGTGGATCTCCCAAGGGAACACTCTAAATCTACCGTGGTCAGCCTTTCCGCTGTCAGAATATGTCGTGATTTTGCCCTGATCGATGATGTCCAGATAGGCTTGCAGGATGTGCTGTAACGGCCGCCACGACCACTGTCCCAGATCATACCAGACCAAATCTTCCCAGTCTGGGACGAAGGAAGCTAGCTCGGTTTCCTGATCAAAGCTATTTAACCCGTAAGTTTTATTCTATATGGATTTCCAGACATCCATAAAGAGAATCATACACAATACCGACTTCTTCATCGCTCTTCGTTCGAGTCGATGGATATAACCATACTAAGCGATCGCCCCACTTTCGGAGAAGAGATTCTTGCAGAATTTCGTGTTTCCCATGGAGCGCGAGCAGATAATAGAAAAAGTGGAACTCAGAGGAAGGTTCGAACATGATAGCTCTTGCCGACCGTAGGAACTGAATCAAGTTCGGATTTAGGCGAGATGCGAGATCGACGGGAATTGGGGATGACTCTTCCCACCAGCTCTTGGACGGAAGCGAAGCGACATCTCGTCCGGCGCCAATCCATGCACGTTCGAGAATCCGGTTGTGAAGCTGTGCTGATAATTTTGGGTCAAATCCAGTCACCGGCATCTTTGCTGGATGAAAACAAGATCACGGGGGTGCATGACAGGTCTTCAAATGTTTACAGGCCGGCTCAACGAAACTGTGAGAGGCAATTTGTCATCACTAGCGCAAGCCGCAAAGCACAACGTGAATGTCACGGTCTATCCGTGCCTTCCCAGCCACCCCCTTCATCACCAATTTTTGAATAAACCATCGGCCGAGTAATATTCAGCCATGTCTGGCAATCATGGCGGCTGGAATAGCTGTTTGTGCATAGTATTCGAACTTGGTGATGGGCTCGGGGTAGTGATGGACGCGAGCGCACCTATGAGCGAACTTGGCCCTGAAAATTTGGACATTAGCAGGAATTGATCACTCAGTGATGAGTATATAGTCATTCTCGCAATGTGCTTGACCAACACACTCCCAATCACTCTGTTGTGGCCCCGCTGCCAATACCTTAGCGCGGATCATTGACTAGGCTGGCAGCAGTAAGTTGAGGGCCACTCTAAAATGCTGCTTGTATAATATCGTATATTGCTAGTATATTTACGCAAAGATTAAGAGAATTGGGTAGAGCCTTATAGAATTTGACCCATAAACAGTTCGTAGGCGACTTCAGTTTTCCAAAATCGCTTCTTAGCCTGTCCATATTCTCATAACTAGCCGCCGCCTCATGAGGGGTATTTCTTCGGCTTAGGGAATATCAATACAGGCGATAACATCGACGAACTCCTGCTTAGGCAAGGCTCTGTTGTTTGCGAGTAAACAGCAGCCTATCGGTAGCCGATGACGTAGGCCTTTATGAATCACTAACAATGAGTCTGTCCTTACAGTAAGCCCAGAAACATGGGGGCTCGATCATCCCATTGGTCACGATGAGAATGGCTTTCAACAAAATCAAACGGTTGATCTATGGGACGACACATCCCAATACGCACCCACGCCCGGTAATTTCTTTTGTTCACCAACCTCGCTATCCGATATAAGCTATTCCAACGTTGATCCCCGCACCTTCCATCGATTATGCAATAGACTTCTTTGCCTAAGGAAACCCTTCCCCTACTTCAGTTCGGTGATTAGAAACAAGTGCTATACCCTAGCATGTATAGATTGGGACTGGATGTGGGCCAGTAATATTCACACCCTAAGTTGATAATTAATAGGCCTAAGCATGTTCTAGATAAGTTCCCCTAGCCTCCTTCTTCCTGATCTGGTTCGAAGTTTAAGAACAGATATTGGGTTTTGTTCAAATTGTATGTTCAAATTGTATGTTCAAATTGTAGTCCAATAAACTTGGGAAATATGGGGGCGATTGGATATTGTGAGCTTGTATTGTCAACTTTTGAGATCATTCTTGAATCTTTTGAATAGTATGAATACTCTGAGAGAGGTTGATGATAATAAGTTGGAATTGAATTCTGATCCAAGTCGATTCAACTCCAAGAAGACGCGATCCGGCACAGCCAGTGTTTCCCTTGGGGCACCCCAATATGGATTAGTGCAAATTCAGGTACGGCCCAAGGAATGCAGCGCGTGTTCGTGGAAAAGTCTTTGCTCAGCTCTAAATGTCTCTCCTTTCTTGCACAGACAAAGTACTTTCTGCAAAATTGATTTTGACTGATCTGAAAGTTTCTTAATGAATACCCTGGGCGAAAGATAGCAGCAGCAGGCTACAGTAGGCAACAATAGCAGCGTTAGGCAGCATAGGCCAATTAAGTTCAAGTCCAAAAACAGCGGGCGTCGCTCTAACTTCATAATATCACAATGTTGTCGAGGCACTTGTCGGTGAGTCACTTAGCCTGCTCAACACGGCTGTAAAACGGACGATCTAAGCAACTGCTGGCAGGAATCTGGGGCCCAAACTTTAAGGTCAAAGCGGTACTTAGTGGGGCCTCACAGGCAGCGGGACCATTTAGAGTGTGTCAATTGAGATCGCATCAACATGAGGCTGAGGGAGAGAGGGGAATCATAAACCAGCACTTGAAATAAATTAGAGCCGCTTCCCCTCGAGTTCAATCTTTTGCTTAGTGCTTCAACTCTCTCCATTTTAATTTATAAGGCAAAAACGCTCGATATATCTTTTGTCTTTCGCGGCCGAGAATGGATCCCTATCTATCCAGGACTCTTCAGTCACTCACCCGAAGCAAGATTCATGAATTGGAAAAGCACCGTAGCACCTACGAGACTCGCAAGGCGGAGACACTGGCAACTGCATCCAAATGTCCAACACTCCGAGATCGGGTTGCACAGCTTCTCGTGGGAACGAAGAAGCTCTCCCCGGGTGCTGAGTCCGACAATGAGATTACCAATATTGAACATTGGGTGGATCAAGCTCGATTTGACTCGACAATTCCACCAGATAAGCTGGAAGGCTTCGAGACCCATCTGCGCGATAGGTTGGATGCGTACAGTCGGAAATTGAATCTCGCCGATTTGTATTCGCGTCTTCTCACCGAATGGATGGATCCTCCTTCAAAGAATGACGATGTGACAAATCATTCTAGTGAGGATGAAGACTTTGAGATTGTAGATGAGCGGCAAAAGGAGAGACTGAAGCAGCTATGCGACCAGTTTGAGGATATGGTCTTCAATCCCTGTGAAACAAGCCCGGCCGAAATCACTTCGTTTCTGCAAGGTCTTTTCCCAGGAGAGAATGGTGTGAAATCCTTGGAAAGTCTTCGATCCAAAGTCAGCGTCGAATCGCAAGCAATCTGGGATCAAACGGACCCTTTCACAGTTGATTCGTTGTCCCAATGCATCCGAGGCCTTCGAACTGAGGAGATTATCAGCGAGCAGAAGCAGCAGACACTGAAGCATTTTTTGGACAACAAGGTAGTTTTGAACGAAATTGCCGATGTGCTCAACATGCGATACGCCGACCTCGGGAGCTGGGACTGGCATGCCGATGGTGAAGGTGTTCCTGTGCTTCCACGGCAGCAGCTCAACGGCAAATACCGAATTTGGATGGATGATGACGTGCTGGAAACGATATTTGTCGAACACATTTGCATACGACTTTGCCAGATGCTCAAGGGTATTTTGGCGAGATTCATCGCGGACGAGCAGTCCGTGTGGGACGTTCCTACAAAGCCAAAAATGACTCGCCGTGACCGGCTACGTCGAAGATACTATTGCAGCGAGCAGGGGAGTGGCAGTCTGGAGGCCTGTCGAAAAGCCGAGTTCCAGAATGATTTCTTCCTTATGGCACTTCCAGACGAGGAGGGCTCTAGTTGGGGTTACGATGAGGATGGGGATGAACACGCCATGGTGCAAGGAAGAAAGAGTGTCAAGCAAATGTTGCTGAGAAAAGTCGTTACCGAGACCCTCTTGGCACGTCATCTTGATGGTGAGGCCGTTGTGCTTCAGTCGGACTTACAGTGGTACGCGACTTCGATCCCACACAGCACAGTCTATACCGCCCTCGAATTTATCGGATTTTCTGAGAATTGGGTTGAATTCTTTCGAAAATATCTCGAGACTCCGTTGAACATGGACAACTCCTTCGAGGGACATGACCGGGTCGGGCCTCGCAAACGCAGAAGGGGAATTCCTATTGCACATGCCTCTGAGAAAATTATTGGCGAGTTAATCCTCTTCTACATGGATCTTGCTGTACGACGCGAGACTGGGGTTCTTCTATATCGTATTCATGATGATATCTGGCTCTTTGGGGAGCCCCAGAGGTGTGCGCAATCGTGGGAGATTATGAAGAGGTTTGCAAATATCACCGGCCTCGCGTTTAACAAAAGCAAGACTGGATCGGTCTATCTGAGCAATTCGATCGATCCTTTAATCGCCTCGCGATTGCCGACCAATCCGGTGAAAATCGGCTTCTTGATGTTGGACCCTTCTTCAGGTGACTGGGTTATCGACCATTCACAGGTCGAGACTCACATTGATCAACTCAAGACACAATTGGATCAGTGCAACAGCTTGCTTTCCTGGATACGAACATGGAACAGCTGCATCGGCAGATTCTTCAGAAACACTTTTGGCGAGCCCGCATACTGCTTCGGGCGGCCACACATCGATGCCATCCTGGCCTCGTATGAGAAAATGCACAAAGCCATATTTGGAACCAAGCCCGAGAACGCACACTGTAGAGGCACATTGACTGAATACCTCAAAAATGAGATCAAGTCTCGCTTCGGCGTGTCTGATGTTCCGGATGCTTTCCTTTTCCTTCCTGAAAAACTGGGAGGGCTAGGCGTGAGAAACCCATTTGTCTCGATCTTTCCGCTACGCCAGTACTTGCAGAACTCCCCCCAAGAGCTAGTGGAATTTTTTCTGAAGTCAGAGCTTGACGAATATGATACCGCAAAAATTAAATTTGAGAAGAAGACCTCGCAGCAGCGGGCGAGACTTCTGGAAAGGCTGAGACTTGAAAACCCGTCAGATGAAGACAAGATTGTCTCTTCGAGTGAGATGCATACATTCATGACCTTTGCAGAATGGAGTCAATTCCGCGACGAAACGAGTCCCAGTCTGACGGCCTTGTACCAGCGGCTCATGGATGTTCCTGGTCAAAGATCACCTGGAACCACCGAGAAAGTCGAATCGGCCTTGCGAAAAGCCCGGGAAGAATTTGGCCTCCGAGGCATTGATGCCGAAGGCAAGTGGATCTTGTACATGTATGCGGAAGATCTTTTGACAAATTTTGGCGGATTGAACCTGGTTGACAAACAGTATTTGCCCACGGGAGTTTTGGACATGATCAAAGAAAAGAAATTTACGTGGCAGATGGTTTTGTGAGAGTGCTACAGCCCATGGCGATGTCCTGGACTTTCAGGGGAGTGGGTGTTTTACTGATCAGTTTTCTCCTTCTCGATTGAGTCTTGTTGTCAAAATAGTACAGCATTCATGAACTCGTCTTGACCGTAACAGAAGCTATTATTACAGCTAGATACCATCTCAAGGTACATTGACTAATATATCCTTCAATTTCTTGTCACTGATCTACCTTAGAGGCCAAAACAAATCAGAAGAATATGCTCAATGGGCTCAAAATTTGTCAAGACATCTCACAAGTCATGTAATTATCCTAGCCAACCCTCAATGTGCCATCATTAGCCACCTTACGGATTCCCAGTTCTGCTTAAACTTCTAAAATGTTCTACCTAATTCTCTTACATATTGCGTAAATTTATTAGCAATATACGATATTATACAAGCAGCATCTTAAAGTGGCCCTCAACTTACTACTGCCAGCCCAATAAATGATCTGCGCTAAGGTCTTGGCAGCGGGGCCCGAACAGAGTGGTTGAGTGTGTGTTGGTCAAGCCGATTTCGAGAATGACTGTATGACGAAGCCGGAGTCAACACCCATCTCCAAACTTTTCGCCGAGCCCGAGCCCTGAGTCCCCGAGGCTCCGAGACCCCGCTGGCACGAGAACACCCGCAATCGAATAATAAAGACCGTCGTATTCCCCC